GCCCCGCCGGCCCCGCCTCCCCAGCCAAAGGGTGGCCAGGGCCTCGCCTGAGAGTCTCTTCATCACCCCCTGAAAGGATCTTCCTCACCGAACACCCTTTCTCAGGCGGTGCTACTGGAAATAATATAGGAGAGTGTTCACTTGCTATTTTTCCCAGAGCCGTCACTTGTGAAAAGCAGGTTCAAAATGTAATTTTAGGTTAACATTATAGATATATCCGGGAAAAGGTCTGATAGTTATGAATGATTTAGGTATAATCTCTGTGGCCAGGATCACACTTCTTTTTTTTTTTTTTTGTAATAATTATTAATTTAATGTATTCTTATTTCTTACTTTCACCAGAGAGGGAAAGTGAGAAAACAAGCCACCAGGTCTGGGACTTGAACTGCAGACAGTCCAGCATCTTAACCACCATGTGACCTGCCCGCCCCAGGATCATACTTTTTAAAAATTGTGTCTTTTTGTTTTTCTGTGATCTCATGTTTCTTTCTTTCTTTTTTTTTTTTTTTGAGAAATTTTTGCTATAGGGCACGTGTGCTCACCAGAGAGTCAGAAAGCGAGAAATTACCCCTCCCAGGGGGGATGGTCACACGGCAATTTCCTCTCCTCCATTCACTTCTTGGGATCTTGGGCACACACGCACACGCGCCTGGCGTGAGTTTAAGCCACAGGGTCCAGGACTCGAACTGCAGTCGACTACATGGGAATCCAGCGACATAACCATTATGCCAACTGCTGGTTCTGATTCATTCGTTTATTTTAATTTAACCACAGAGAGACACAGAGAGAGAGAGAGACAAAGAGAGAGAGAAAGCAAGCCACCAGGTTCAGGACTTGAACCATGGTTGGCCATGTGGGAGTGTCCAGTGTCTTAAACACCATGCCACCTGCTGGTTCCCAAGGTATAGATTTTATAGTTTAAATAAAGGCCCCTAATAAAAAAGAGAGAAATTAATTTTTGCAAATATCCCTTTGTTTGGCATCACATACACCCAAGTACCCTCGATACCAAATACATATTTTAAACCCTAATTTTGATTCAATAAATATAATATTTACTGGACACTTACAATATGCCAACCACAGTCCTACTGCACTTGGCAGCTTTTCCCTAGTCCCCTTTTTATTTTTATTTATTTTTGGCTTATTTTCTTCGGCCTAACACCACCCAATGGAGATATTAGTTTAGCATCCCACGCTTATAAAATTCTCATTCAAAACTTCAACCATCACTTTTAAGCCAGGAGCAGCCATTTCACCACTCTCCTCTGACTGGACATTTCTTGATTTTTTTTCCAGTTTTTGCTACAGTATATGTGTGCTTGCCCGAGATAAAGAAAAAGAGAGAGAGAGAAAGTGGGAAATCACCCCTCAGGGGAATGATCATGCCACAGTCCTTTCTCCTCCATTCTCCTCTCTAGGTTTTGGGCACACACGCACATTCGCCAGACATAATTTTCAAGCTGCCAGGTCTAGGACTTGAACTGAACAACTGGCCATGCGGGATCCAGCACCTTAACTTCCATGCTACCTTCTGGTTCTGACATTTCTCAAGTTATTATTATTTTTTTTAAGTTTCTCTCTCTTAAGAGAGACAAGTACTCTCAACAAGATTTCATGTGTCATGATCCTCCCACCAGCTCTGCCAGGCAGCCAGGATCGCAGGAACACGTGCACATGCTCTGCCTGTACAAGCGGACCTAGGAGCCAAACCCTGATCTTCCATAGGGCTTTCAGTATTGCAGAGTCATACAGTACCCCTGCACCACTGCATCTGAGCTTGACTGGACATTTCTCTATGTGGATGTCCCTTAATCATCTTACATGCAACATAGTCCGGTATATCTAAGAATGAAATCCACAATTATTGAGTTCCAACTATGTGCTAATTACTAGGCTAGGTACTGGGAATACAAAGATAACTAAGGCATAGTTATGGCTATTAAGGGGCTCATTGGTACAGTATAAATGCTATAACTGAAGGAATAAAAATCAGCTCAAACAATACTCTGTAAAAATTAAACTTAACTACTTGCTTTTCTTGCTTCTGTACAAAAGCTTGTGCCACTGCCTTGAAAAACAGCCCTGAGCTATGCAAGCCACTGAGGCTTGCTCAGCCTCCTGCATACCAGCTCAGCTCCATGCAGAAAGCCAGATCCCTGCAAAAATGTCTACCCCCCCCCCCCGGGAAATCAGTACCAGACCACCCTGAGTATCTAACCTGACCCAGTTGCAACATCTGCAAAATACCTTTGTAGCCCACTTGCGTAAATAACCCTCCTTGCCAGAGCCAGCAAAAAAAGATAACCATACTTAAAAGACCCTTATCTTATTTCCTCATTCCCCACTCCCCTCACCCTTCCAACTTGTGCCTATATAATCTATGTGTTTCTTTTGTTCGGGGCTCCACTTCCCTCTGAGTCTGTTGTGACCAGGAGTGGAGTCCTAGCGCGCTAGCAATAAAGCCCTCTTGTGTTTTACAGCAAGAACTGACTCTTGTGGTTGATTGGGGTTGCCGTGACTCTCCTTGGACTGAAGGGTCACCGGCTATTTGAGTCGGGGGTCTTTCATAACAACAGTAGCACAAAGGAGAGAGGGGGCCCAGCCTGGTGGTGTAGTCAGTAGAAGTGAAACGCAGCACAGGAAGCCACTTGGGCAACCTTGAGTTTGGATTCCCATGCCAGCTTGAAAACTTGTGGGCACTTATACATGTGCCAAGATCCTAAGGAGCAAGAGGGCTGGGGAAAGATGACCATGGTGTTAACAAGGACCTGTCAAGGGCGTTTCTCTGTCTCTTTCTCTGGGTCTTTCTGTCTCTCATGCATGCACTATCATGAATGATATCTTTTTTTTAATAAAAGGGAAATATATCAGGGACCAGCAGATGGTGTAATGGTTACGTCATTGGACTCCTAGGTAGTTGACCACTGTTTGAGTCCTGGGTGCAGTGGCATGAAACTCATCCAGGCACAAAATCCCAGAGGAGATTGGAGGAGAATGGATTGTGGCATGGCCATCCCCTCTGGGGGGTGATTTCTCGCTTTCTGTCTGGCAAGCGCATGTGCCTTATAACAAAAATCTCTCCAAAAATAAATAAATAAATAAAAGGAAGGCTAGAGTCTAGCCCTACTGAGAAGAGGATAGCGCATCAACCTTGAAGTGAAGTAGATCTCCATTTTGGACTCCTCTCTATATTGGAAACTTGCTTTCTCCTATTGCCTAAACAGAGTGATTAACACTCCTGCTGTCTTTGTTAAATAACCTGAAACTTCCTACCCTAAGATGTTCCTTAGTTAGTGATGCAATCATCAGTCTCTGAGCCCCTTGCCCTGAGCCATGAAGAACATTAAGATTCCATTGTGTTTAGGTAGATATGGAACATATCCTTAGGAATGATCAACCTGCTTTGTTTCCTTCTGCAAACTGCTTCTGCATTGTAAGCCACTACACCCTACCCTTTCAAGCCCACCACTCTTTGTTCTTGTGAGCTCTTTGTTCTTGGCCACAACCCGGAAAAAGAATGTGATTTTTGTGTTTACAAGTACCCTTCTCCCTACATGCGGGGCTGCGGGGTTTTGAGAGACATGAGTTCCCCCAAATGCTGACACCTTAATAAATAAAACTCTAATAAACTTGGCTGTTTCTGGATGTTTTCTTATTTCTTGCTGTATAGACTATAACAGAAGTGTTGTCAATTTTGACAGACAAGTGGCAACTTAAGACAGTCAACAGAAAATTTTTAACTTAAAACAATGTGCAAGAGCAAGAACACTGAAACAGCTGGGCCCATTAGAAAAACTGCAATAATTCATTATAGCTGAAGCCTTAACCTTATTGGAGAACAGGGCAAACAAGTCCTGGAGAGTGCTTGATGCATGTTAATGTCTGAAGTTTATCCTCTAGACAACGCAGAGCATTTTAGAAAGGACACTTCTTTGGTAGAAGGGAGGACAGATGAAATGAGTTGAGAGTGGCTGCAAGGAGCTACTGAATTGCTCCAGAAATTAGCTGAGGGGAAGAAGCATCTGGACTTGGTATACTCACTTGGCAGAATCAACTGCATGGAACAAAAAGTGGCAGAGTATAGGCTTGGGAGACAATAAGACGACTTTAGCATGGGGTTATTAAGTTTGAGATACCGATAGTACTTAAAGAATTGGTAAATGACACATTGTCTGAAAGTTCCCCCCACACTCCCAGGTAGTGAGTAGTATCCTCTCCGGCACTTCAAACAAATCTATTTCAGCCGTCACCCTCCGCTACCCAGATTTCTAAATCCTTTTCGCTAAATGTTTTACCAGTAATTTATCACTTTCTAAACACCATGTCACCACGAAAGAGTCGATGGACAGCTAACGGTACTGAAATCCCTCAAATCTAAGTGGAAACGTGTGTTGGGGCTGCCTTCACACAAGCCATGGCTTCAAAACCAGTACTGGGGGGGAACCAGCAGTTAGCATAATGGCTATGTCGCAGGACTCCCACGGTTCGCATCCCGGACCCGGTGGCTTTAAACTCACGCCAGGCACGTGTGCGTGCGTGCCCAAGATCCCGAGAGGAGAATGGAGGAGACGGGATTGCAGCGTGACCATCCCCCCTGGGGGGTGATTTCTCGCTTTCTGTCTCTATGTCTCTGTCTGTCTGGCGAGCGCACACGCCCTGTAGCGAAAATCTCTCCCAAAAAAACCCCACAAAAAACAAAAAACAGTACTGGGAGTGGGTATGACGAATGGGAGCCTCTGAGACAAAGGGTCGGGAAGCAGACGAAATCATATATGCTCCACTGGTCCAGCAAAGGCATCAAACAATTTGAAAACCGTAATCTGGGAAGTGTTTTGCTCCGTGAAAATCGTCGGTGGAGTCCATTCTTCATGTTCGTCCGAGTACCTGCTAGGCTAGGATCCCCGGGCACTCGGCTCCCCGGTTTCTCCTTCAACTAGGCCCAGTGGAAAAGCTCTACTTTGCTTCCCAGAAAAATGAAAATAACTGGGAACGAAAAAGGCCCTTGGGTCCACAGCGATTTATACACAAGACACACAGTTTGACCGCGTCGGGGAAATCCCAGCTCCCCCGGCAAGCGTAGGGCGGAAAGGGCGGGGACTCCAACGTACGTCATACGCCGGCGCCGGAAGTTGGCGGCGACTCAGCGACGAGCCTGGTTGTCTGGCTGCACGGAGAAGTCTCTTCCTGCTGCGTAAGTACAAAGTTGGCCGGCTGGGAGTTGGGGGCCCAAACTGGGAGGACGCCTGGAGTTATAAAGGCCGGGTGTGGGGTTAGAGTTGGGACGGAGTCGGTGCTGCAGCCCTTTGGCATGATTTCTTTTAGTTCAGCTGTTCAGCCAGCCATTGGGAGTTATTTCATTATTGTTTCCTTCGGTTAGCCTGTTCCCGTTGAGTGATGCAGTTTAAAATATTTATTTATGTATTTGGCTATCTCTGGCTAAAGCTTCGAAAAACAGAACTTGTGTTAAATGAAAACGCAAACTTTGCGGCCTAGTCGGAATCTAAGTAATCCCGCGCAGATGCACTTGTATCTCAGTCTCTTCATCCGTAAGAGTGACACCTCCTAGGATTGTTGTGAGGATTATATTTTAATACCAGGTATAACAACATTTATTATTGTGTCCAGTTTTGGGTAAGCGCATGATACTTTTGTGTGTGTGTTTTCCTGTGGCGTCCTTTAGGCATAACTGTTAGGGTTTTGAGGAGGAAAATACAGATTAGGAGTTGGGACTTTTTTAGCTTTTCCTGAGAAAAAGGGCCCTATTTGAATCCTTGAGTAGCCCCTTTGAGATATTTAACATTTGAATCTGTGACTTCAGGCATGCAATGGACACCCAGAAGGACGTTCAACCCCCAAAGCAACAGCCAATGATATATATCTGTGGAGGTAAGAGTATAATTTATATAAAATAAATTACTACATTCATCCCTTGCTAAAGTGAGATACTGATTTTTAAAGAATTATTTATTTTTTAAAATTATTATTAATTTGCTATAGAGCATGTGTATTCATGATAGAGAGCGAGCGAGCGAGCGAGCCACCAGGTCTAGACATCCAACTGCTGTTAGCCATGTGGGAGTTCAACTCCTTAACCACCATATCACCTGCTTGCCCCAATGAGTTACTGGTCTTTAAAATTATAGAAGAAATATTTGGGCCTGCTTAGTGATTAATGCAACTGAATCCTACATAACACCCAACCTAGTACCAGTCTGGGACTTAGTGCTGAAAGACAGAGTACTTGTATGGGAGTGCCCAAAACCCAAGTGGAGGAAAAAACGGAGGAGAAGGGATTGTGGTGTAACCATTCCCCATGAGGCATGCTTTCCCATTTTCTTTCTCTAGCAAGCACCCATATCCTCAGGCATATTAAAAATAATAAAAGGAAACACTTTAGAAACCACTAAAATAAAATTAATTAATAATAAAAAAAGAAACCACTAAAATAAAAAACACTTTAGGTTTTCATTCTTTCCTGAAAAAAGATCGTATCTCATAAGTCCTTTATTTCTTCTTAGTAATGTAATAGCATACCCTTGAGAGTGAGGGTGTTTTAATGCTTTTGGTTACCTTGGATGAAAGATATGGTTAATATAATTTACTTCTATATAATGTTTGTCTTTTAAGCGTTGAATAAATGTGTTTTCTTTTATAGAATGTCACACAGAAAATGAAATAAAATCCAGAGATCCAATCAGATGCAGAGAATGTGGATATAGAATAATGTACAAGAAAAGAACTAAAAGGTGTATCCTTTTAAATATGCTTTTGAAATATGAAGTAGGAAGAAATGAATAATGTTGAAGCTGATGAACACTAATTTTTGGTAAAAATGGTAACACAATTTTTTCAGGATCCTCTATTCTGTATGTACTCATTCTTGAGCTTGAATTTAAAGAAAAACTAAATTATACAAAGAGAAATACAAATATTGTGTATACTGCCTAATGTAAAAAGCAAACTCTATAAATTGGCCCAAATACTGAGAGTAAATTATGTGGTAACTAACAAATTTTTTAAAATCAGCAAGTTAGCACCTTTAATATTTTTTCACTGTTTTTTGAAGTAATTATTTTATTTAGCTTTATTTTTAATTTGACCACAGAGGGACAGAGAGAGAGAGAGGGAAGAGAGAGAGAGGAAAAGCGAGAGAAAGTAAACCGCCAGGTCTGGTACTCGAACCATGGTCAACCATGTGCGAATCCACCTGCTAGCCCCCTCTTCACTGTTTTCTGATGTGTTGGTCTTTTGGAAAAGGAACTAATATACATTGTAATAATTTGTTTTAGTTCATCATCAATTGTAAGCGGTGAATTCCATTTTTAGGAGGGTCCATTTTAAATAGAAAACTATCTTATTACAAAGAGAAATTGACTTGGAAGCCTTTAATCTTACACAATTTTAAGTACTTTTTTTCTTAACTCAGTTTATACAGTGGTGGTTTTTGATGCTCGGTGAAACATGGGAATTCAGATGAATGTCTTCATTTGTACCTGGATTTGCCTTGTTAATGTTTCTCGTTGTACAGCTTTTGGTTTGGTATACTTAATCTTTATGAATGTAGTTATATACATGTAATTTCATTTAAAAAAACATATTGTATTTAGATACCTATTAATACTGTGTATAAAGGAATTTTTGTGTTCAACTATATGACTTTTAATTTTATTGTATAATCTAATTTGACATACAATGAAGGTTAAAATTGTTTCTCCAAACCACACTTTTAACCAAAACCTATAGTCATCTGCGATCCTTATTAAACATGCAGGTTTCAGGAGCCCTCTGTAGTTCTGATTAAATACATTTCTTGGAAACCACTGTTCTGTGTCACCCCGCTTATAAACTCTCCAGCATCATTTGGTGCACCATGTATCAGTGTACTTGCAGTTGGTGTGTATATATCATTTTGAGTTTGATAGTCTCACCTATTAATATATTCCCTCTGTTTCAGAATTCCATCATTGTAAACCATAGCCTCTAATGTTCATTTTAAAGATTAGGCATAGTCCAACTTTATTAATAGCTGTGTCGATTTCTGACATGGAAAAAATTATCCATGTCATTTATTGAAAAATATTTTTAAGGTAGCACCCTCATATACTAGATGCTATACATTTATTATGTGCTGTGTGAAGTACTACCATGCCCAGATTTATTTTTTTAGTTTATTTATTTCCTCTGTAAACAAGAGTGACAAAGATAGGTAGAAAGACAGCACCCTCGGTGAGGTCTCAACACAGCAATCTACCCACAGCCCCTTCCAGCCTGGATCCTGGGCGTGTTTGCATACCCAGCATACTCAGAAGTTCCCGGGAGTGAATCAACTTTCCTGTGTACATCACCTTTGTATGGCATCATTTTTACTGTTGTGTCACCATCCAGCCACCATTTAAAAAAAAAAAATGGGACCGGCAGGTGACGTGGTTAAGGCAGCTAGACTCCCACATGGCTGACTATAGTTTGAGTCTGGGACCTGGCAGCTTGCTTTCTCACTTTCCTTTTCTCTTCAAAAACATAAACTTTGAAAAAGTAAAATAAAATAATCATAATGAATAAAAGTAATTCTTTTTTTAAAAAGAAAATGTTGGATGGGGTTATCTTTGCAAAATAAATCAATAAACTAGATCTTTTAAAAAACATTTTTTGGTCCTTTATACATGACTTTCATAATTTTATAATTTTGCTATGTTCCTTCTTGATCTTGACCTTTTAAGAGTCCCAATGTGTGTTTCTTAATGACAGACACCTACACAGAAAAACCCTAACTTGTTGCAAAGTATAGTTCTACTTCTCTTTTTCATTTTAATTGACAGACCTGTGTGCTAGCCAGAGAATGAGGGAGATACAGGAGGAGAGGGAGAAAGCACACTTCAATTGGGTATAGTCACACTGCAATCCCTTCTCCATTTTTCCATCATTTTGGGACTCTGGACATGTAAGCACATGTGTCTGGTGTGTTTTTCAAGTTATCAGGGCCCAGATTTGAAGTGGATAGGCTATGTGTGATCTAGCTCCCTTGACCACTAGGCTGTGGGGCTTACGCTTACCTTAACTGTTCTAATTTCACTGTAGGTTCTTTGCATATCAGTAATTTAGTTGACTATTATTGGCTAAATGGAAACAGCAACTTAATGGAAAAAGTAACTAGAACGCTACTGTAGTTTTCAGCCAGCCACTAACCTCTCTATTACCCCTTCATCTATAAAATGTAAATAATTTTACCTCTTACCTACCTGGACAGTTTTGTTTTTGTATTGTTTTAATTTGTTAAAATGTATTATATAAATTTGCTGTAGGGCACAGGTACTCACCAGAGAGAGGAGGGAAAGTGAAAAAGCAAGCCACCAGGTCTGGGACTCTGGGTTTGCAGTTGGCCATGTAGAAGTCTAGTGCCTTAACTGCCATGCCACCTGCTGGCCTCTAGCAGGACAGTTTTAAGATGAAAAAAGTTAACAAAAATGTTGATTTAAAAAAGATTCTTTTGAATCATGTTGTCTAAAGAATAACTAAATTTGAGCCTGACATTAACACATAACGTGTCCCTTAATAAACTGCTTACCAGTTATGGACACACCGAACGGCTTGTCTATGCTTATGGGACTAGCACTGTATAGAGATTTCATTCGAATCCAGCCCTGCCAGTCAATGACACCAATTCAACACTTCTATTAGCTTCACCTCATTATCAACATGGGAGAAATTATGATTGTCAGTGTATGGGGGTAACAGTGTTTTGAGAAAATGAAGCTTTCTTAAGAGATTGAAGTTACAAAAAGCTCAAAAATAGTAGATGAGTTAAGAAATGAATAGACCAGATAAAGAGATAGCTGAGAAGCTGTAAAAACAAGTTGCAGACTCCTATACATAGGCATATCTCCACCGCTCCTAGAATAAGTTCTATATAGAAGATTAGCCAAGGTGGAATGGTTATTTGAGCAGAGGACTGAAGGATGAAAAGAAGACAAGGGGAAGGGGCATTACTGAAATGGGAACAGTCAGTGTAAAAGTTTGGGGTAGAAAAGCATTGTTCATGCTTCAGAATGAAGCCCATGGAACTGAAACGTGATGAATAGGGGTTAGAGGGGGAGATGAAGTTGCAAAGGAAAACAGATGAACCCACGTAGGCCCTTATGCTGGAAAGCCATTGAGACAGCAGAAGAGCAAAATGATTATGTCTTCTAAAGCTGTAGTGTGAGAAAGCAGGCCATGTGGCAGCAGGGAGACTAGTCAAGGACTACCAGTAATAGGTACGGGTGATGAAATTGTGGCCACCAATAATAGGTAAGGCTAATGAAACTGGCTGGGCTGGAAGGGTAGCTGAGGAGAGGGGGAGGTGTTTTGAAGTTTATCTGATAGGACTAACTCATGGATTGGTTATGAATTAAGAGCTCAGTAAATGGTGTGAGATTTTGTGTAGGGCTTTGGGTCCAAATACCCATGCTCCTCCTTGTTAGCTGACTGTTTATACACACACACCACACACTTTGTGTTTGTGTCTGTGGGTTCTTGGAAAAGTCATGAAGTGTTTTTCCATGCAAAGATGTATCAGACTTTTCCAATGACCCAATGTATATAATATGCATACCTTTGTTATATATGTTTATATATGTGTGTGTATTTATGTGTATGTGTATGTACATGTTTATATATGTGTGTATTTATATGTATGTGTGTATGTACATGTTTGTGTATATAATCTTTGTTTCCTCAGTGTAATACCTTCTCATCTCTGAAGAAAATAGTGATAATTTTCATTTGCCAACATAGTCTGTTTCTTTTGAGTTGCTTTTTAATTCAGCATACATAAGTATACCTAATTATAACCAGAAGAAAATACGAAGTGTGAGTGAAAAAATTACAGGGCCTGTGTAATTACAACCATTCCTAAAATGCTTAAAAAGGTTTCTTTTTATACTTGAAGTAAAATGACGCAGTTACGGTAGGCTGAGTGTTTTTCACTTACTGCATAATTTGGAGGAAGGTGACTGGAATGAGGCATGAAATGACTTTACAGTACCTGGGGCAAATGATGCTGTTCCTCCTGACAATTTAATGTGATTCAAGAGTTATTTAAAATTTTGAATCTGTGTTTATGAACATGAAAATTTCACATATTCCAGTTCTGGCAATGGAAATAATATAGTTAAACATAATAGTTTGAGCATTAGAATTTTTACCGCTGCTGCTAATAGACTGTAGGTCTGTAATTTAAGTGCAAAAGGGGAAAATAAATATATTTTATGAACTACTATTGTGTGTCAGACATTGCCAAGTGCTTAATGTTTATCATCCATTTTAACTAGTCTGAAATTATAAACCTGAAATAAATTTTCCTACAAATGATCTTTATTTTTTACTCATCTGAATTGTATTATATTTTATTTCTCCTTGTATCCTGCATCCAGTACTATGCCTGGTTCATAACCAGCACTCAGAAAAATGTCAAAAACTTGAAAAGGAAGAGTGAATGTCTTTCATTTACTTTTGTTTAAAGTGTTATAATACACACTGCATTTTTCTGTTACTTGTTTCATGAGAGGCAGAGTTAGAAACTCCCCCAACCGGTTCTTGTCAAATCCAGATCCTCTCCTATCTTTTTCAGCCAAGATAAACTTAAGGTCCTCCTATATGGCTCCAGCATCCCACTGCTACCCCTACCTTCTGAACCAGTGTGGCTGCACACAGACTCTCCAATTGTTATTCCGTTTTTCTTCTTTTTTTTAAAAGTGATTTTGCAGGCCGGCAGGTGGCGTGGTGGTTAAGGGCGTTGGACTCCAACACGGCCTACCGTGGTTTTTCTCTCGCTCTTTACTTCTCTGCACAAGTTACAATAAATTAATAAGTTAAATAATTTTAAAAACTTATTTATTTTTAAAATTTGACCAGAGAGGGGCAGAGCGAGAGAAAGAGTGAGAAAAGCAAGCCGCCAGGTCTGGGACTTGAACCGCGGTCGACCACCTACGTGGAAGTCCAGTGCCCTTAACCACTAGTCACCTGCCGGTCCCCAAATAATTTTTTTAAAGTGATTTTTGCTATGGGGCGCGTGCACTCGGAGAGACAGACAAAGCGAGAAATCCCCCCCACACACTCCGCGGATGGCCACACCGCAGTCCCTTCTTGCTCTTCGGAATTTTGCGCACGCATGCACGCGTGCCCCCGAATGGCGGTCAACTAGGTGGGAGTCAAATGACGTAATCATTACGCTAGTCCTAGTAATTCCGTTTTTATAGTGAGCATAGACGTCAATACACCTAGCAGGCAGTATAGCAATCCCGGGTAACAGTAACATCGTTTTAACTCACTCTAAAACAAATCAAAACTCTGGGCTACTAACTGGAGTTCTCTTGCACTTTGGGAGGTCCTGGGTCGGGTGACGGAGGTGAGGTTGGGGCCTGGCAGGCCAATCAGCTGGACGGCGGGTCGGGAGTAGCCAATCACCCTGCAGAGGGCCTGCCCCCCCTTCCCCCCTTCAGCCCCTCGTCCTCGAGTCGGGGGCGGGGCGACGCGCTCCGCTCCTAACCCGCGGCGCAGTTAGGTCGGCGGGCGGCCGCAGAGTCCTCTGCCGGCACAGGGTCTGCGAACCAGGTGAGTGCTCGTGTGGCCCTACTGTCCGGGAATGAAGCACATCTGCCCATTGTTATCTCCCCCTTCCGGAAGCAGCAAGTGCACTCTCGGACACGAGTGGAGGATAGTGTGCAGTGGGAATCACACTGGGGGCTTTGCAGACTGCCCTGGACGGCGGCCAGTGATGGGACCGGATCGCAACACTGAAGTCCCCGGTGTCCCTCGGCGGCATTCAGCCTGGTGACCAAACCGGGAAGGGGGGAGCAGTTTCGAGGGATCCGGGCCAAGCCCTGACCCTGCTGGTGGCTCCAGCTGCGCTGTACATAGAAACCGTTGCTACGGACAGAGGATACCGTTTCCTTTCAGTCTCCGGCTGTAGGGGGCGCTTGGTCCTGCGGTTGCTGAGAGAAGGTACTTCCTGGGAGATGCCCAGGTGTCTGTGCTGCAATGCATCTAGACCAGCGCAGTCTACACTGGAAATAATAGGGGAAGTGGATGTGGATTGGGATGATGAAGAGGAAATCATTCCAGCTAGGACCAAAGGTTTTTGTTTGTTTGTTTGAGAGGTTTTTGCTATAGGGCGCGTGCGCTCGCCAGACAGACAGAGACAGAGAGACAGAAAGCAAGAAATCACCCCCCGGGGGTGGGGTGGGATTGCCACGCTGCAATTCCTTCTCCTCCTCTCTTCTCTCGGGATCTTGGACACGCACGCACACGCGCCCGCCCGGCGTGAGTTTAAGCCACCAGCTCCGGGACTCCAACCGTGGTCGACTATGTGTCCAGCAACATAGCCATTACACCAACTGCTGGTCCCAGACCAAAGGGTTTTCTAATCAGGTGCAAAAGACTTTGCGAACAGAGGTGGAAGAGTACTAAATAAAGTATACCCTTTTTTTTTTTTTTTGAGTTTGAGAATTAATGTTTAGTCCATCTTTATCAGTGCTTTTTGCTTTTTTGTTTTTGTTTTGAACCTTGATAGAGCACACATGTGTCGGGGAGAGAGAGAAAGGTTGAGCATTTAATCTTCAGAATGTATATCCTATAGGGAGAAGAAAAAAAAAAAGCATGGCGGTTTTAAAAAAGGATTCTCAGAATAATGTTAAAATTGTTCAGAATTAAATTCTTTTGATTAGGTAAGAGATTTCTCTATCATTTCGAATAGTTTTCATTATATTTTATCCAAACAGTAAACTCAAAATGCCATCAATTCAAGGTAAAATATTTTGTAGAGGTCTTTTTCTTTTCTTTTCTTTTTTTTTGAATAGGGCGCATGTGCTCGCCAGAAAGAGAGAGACAGAGAGACAGAAAGTGAGAAATCACTCCCCAGGGGGGATGGCCACGCCGCAATCCCTTCTCCTCCATTCTCCTCTCGGGATCTTGGGCACGCACGTACACGTGCCCGGCGTGAATTTGAGCCACCAGGTCCGGGGCTCTAACCCTGGTCAACTACATGGGAGTTCAGGGACATAGCCATTATGCTAACTGCTGGTCCCCCAAGGTAAAATATTTTAATCCAATCAGATGATTAAGCCCTCCCACCAGAGAGTCTCCTGCTCTTTGGAAATTCTCCTAGAACAGCCCTTATATTTCCAGCAGCTCTCCATCTTTTTTCCTCTAACTTCCACTATGGAGGTTATCCTTGCTATGGGAACTATTTATCATACTGCGCCACAATCTAATTTCTGGTTGGATCTCATCCCAAAGCTGAAGAACTGTCATCTCTGTAGGTTCTGTACCCATAACACAAACAGCAGGAAGACAAAGGAGCTCAGAGTGACCTCTTTTTCTTCAGGGGACTAATGTGTGATTAGACTTCAAGAAATAATCATGCTGAAGGAAGAGCTTCTAATGAGTTAGACCCATTGGTACTGCTTGCTTTTAATGTTATCACTCAATATACTTACGTGAAGCATTAAAAAAAAAAACTTACGAAAAGAAATATTTTACTTTACTACCACGTTCATTTACAAGCACATAATTTATGTTCAGATAGACATTGTCTTAGTCCATTCAAGCTGCTATGACAAAATACCTTGGGATTATAAATGATAGAATATTGGAACCAGCAGCTGGTGTAATGGCTATGTCGTTGGACTCCCATGCAGTCGACCGTGATTCAAGTCTTGGACCCAGTGGCTTAAACTGTCTTTCTGTCTCTGTCTTTCTGGTGAGTGCACATGCCCTATAGCAAAAACCTCTCAAAAAATATTTTTTTTCCCCAATTCTGGAGGCTGGGAAGTCCAAGATCAAGACATGAGCAGATTTAGTGTCTTGTTAGGGCTTGCTCTTTGCTCCATAGAAAGTGTTTTTTGAGAGGTATGTACAGTGTGCCATTAGAATGCAGGCTAGAACAATTCATTGATGGTAGTGGGTGGTAGAGAAGGACAGGAGGTAGGGAATGGGAAAGAGGTTGATATTAAGGAGGGTTACAGGAAGGATGTTATGTATGTTCGTGTTGAATCATAAAGGATGATTAAAGTATTAACCGACAGCTAAAGTAGAAGGTCTTTCAAATCAACATTCAGGCCACCACTGTGGATCTCACGTAGTAGCTGTGGTTCAAACCCTGGCCAGGTCATCCTGATATACACTGGGCATATACATGTATGCCCAAGATCTGATGGGCTGGAGGACTAAAGGAAGGGGATTGCGGTGTGAGCACATCCCATGGAGGGTGCTCATCTCTGGCTCTCACACTCTTACATGTGTGCACATGTGCTCTCTCCTGAATAAGAAAAGCATTTTTTAAAATCAACATTTAAATATGTCTTAAAGAGCAGCTTGAGCACCAAAACCTGCTTTGTCATTGTATTTCAGTTTGCTTAGGTGAAGATTAAGTGAGGTAAAAATCCACATATGGCTACAGTAATTTAACTCCATAAATGTTAACTGTTGTTATCAGGGAGAGATGTTTCAAAATATCTTTCCTTGGAAAGATCACTCCCCCTCCTTTTCTCTGGAAATGAAAAATAAATGATACAGAAGCACCTAGATAGTTACTACTATCCAAATTAAGTAATATTATAGTTTGGTAGAGGGTACATGCACTCACAGTTTTTAACCACTGGGTCCAGGACTCGAACTGCGTAGTTGGCCATGTGGATTCCAGCCATCTAAAGACATGTCACTGGCCAGCCCAAGTATTATTAATTATTTATATATATATATATATATATATTATAGGTTCATAACTATTTTCCTATACTGTATTTCAGCCATGACTGCCAAAGATTGTCCATCATTGTGGGGCTTTGGAACAACAAAAACATTTAAAATTCCCATTGAACATTTGGATTTCAAGTATATTGAAAAATGTTCAGATGTTAAACACCTGGAAAAAATTCTTTGTGTGCTCAGGTAAGCATTTAAAAACCCTTTTGGGCTTCAGTATGCCAATTTTAGTTATAATATTGTCTTCTAAAAGTCAAAGCTATGCTAGAAATTTTAGAGAAAATTTTCAAATATTAAGATTATTGATTTTGTGCATAGTAGTTTCCAAATAGTAGTGGTTTTGATCCTGATATTAGTTTAGGGAGTGCTAACTAAATCTACTTCTAGCATGAGACTTAGGTTAAGAAAAGTCCATTCTTTTTTGCTTCTTTTACATTTTCTAGGAAAAAGTAAAGCAGCAATGAAAGCCATTGGAAGGTAAGGCTGTTTCACCAGCTTACGCTGATAAAGTTCTTTGGCGTTTTCTCTAATTGGACAATAAAGGAGTGACTTACTGCAAGCTGATCACAGGGTGGAGGCGCTGGAGGAAGCCTGAGGTTGTACCAGAAGGCAAGGAGTTAGAGCATTCTCAGGGGAGAGCCCCAACGTGGCGATGGTCAAACTTGAATAACCATCAAGTACGATTATTGAAAATACAAATGTGAGGGCCCTGTTCCTAGAGATTGTGCTTTCTGAAATCTGGACTAGGACCCAGGAACAAGTGAACTGACTAACTGATACGCAAGTAGTCAAGGAATCCACCTTCAAGAAATGCTACCCTGGGAGTACCACCCCTTGGCACCTCTTTTGGTTTTCTTACGCTGTTTTCACTTGGGGATCAGCATTCTATCACAAGGCTCCTGTGGAGCAGGGATTATTCCTTTCCACGACATCAGATATTCCTATTGCTCTCTGATGGTTCTCTCTTTTCTTTCCTCTGATCTTCATCACTGGATTTTTTCTTGTTTCTCTTTTATTTATTTTTTTTTGGGGGGGAGAGGTTTTTTCTTTTTTGGAGAGGTTTTTGCTGTAGGGCGCATGCACTCGCCAGAAAGACAGAGGACAGAATGCGAGAAATCATCCCCCAGGTCGGAGGGCCACGCCATAATCCCTTCTCCATTCTCCTCTCCGGATCATGGACAAGCACGCACGCACACGCGTCTGGCGTGAGGTTAAGCCATTGGGTCCGGAACTCAATCCGTGGTCGACTACCTGGGAGTCCAGCGACATAGCCATTACACCAACGGCTGGTCCCAGAGAGATTTTTGTTATAGGGCTTGTGTACTCACCAGAGAGATAGAGAGACAGAAAGCGAGAAGAGAGATAGAAGGCGAGAAATCACCCCCTAGGGGCAATAGCCATGCCCCAATGTCCTCTCCTCCATTCTCCTCTCAAGATCTTGGGCACACATGCACACATGCCTCATGTGAGTTTTAAGCCGCTGGGTTCAGGACTTGAACCATGGTCGACTACTTGGGAGTCCAGCTACATAACCATAAGGCTATCTGCTGGTCCCTCCTGTTTCTGTTTTATCGTTTTCAGCCTTCTGTCCTCCCTGCTTGTCCCTGGCCACAAAACCTCATCATTTCTGAAATGGAAAATGAAAAATCATGTTATTGTTTTCCTTCTATTTTTCTCATCAAAATATTGTCATTTATATTTGGTCAAGGACTGATTTTTAAAAAATAATTATTTTATTTAATTTTTATTTATTATTATTATCATTATTATTTTTCAATTTGATAAGAGTGAGACAGAGAGAGAGAGGAAGTGAGAAAGCAAGCCACCAGGTCCGAGACTTGAACCGTGGTCAGCCACGTGGGAGTCCAGCGCCTTTAACAACCATGCCACTTGCTGGCCCCCAAGGACTGATTTTAAAAATAAAAAATTTATGGGATGATAAAGTTTGAAATAATGTTGGTTCCAAGAAAGAATATGCATAGCCTAATTAAGTTATATTGTATTGACTTTTAATTTTTTTTATGCTAAAGTGCATGTATATGAGAGAGAGAGAACCCTACAACAGGTCCTGGTCACATTGCAATGGTTTTTCCTCCAATTTCCATCCCATCAGAATTCTGAGCTCATATGCATGCACTCAGTGTGTTTTTTCATGCTACTGGGGCCAGGACTCAAACCCTGGTTGGCCACATGCAGTCCAGCTTCCTCTGTGTAGGAATTCATAGCTGCACTATGAGGCTGGCCCCTATAATTGTTTTTTAAATTTTAATTTGAAAATGGAATTTATTTATATTTTTATGGAAATTTTAGAGTGTACAGATCTGTAAGAGAAGGCTGATTTTTCTCAAAAACAGCAAAAAAAAAGAACAGATGTTATCTAGTCCCTTTTTTGCTGCTATGACAGAATGTTTGAGTAACTTATAAACAATAGAAGTTTATTTGGCTTATGCTTCTGGATGCTGGAAAGTTCTAGAGCATGGCACTGGCATCCGGTGAAGGCCTTCTTGCTGCATCATTCCTGGTGGAAAGCAGAAGGGCAAGTGAATGCAGGAGACAGAAGAAATCAGACTGAAGTCATTCATTCATTCTTTTTTTTGGGGGGGAAGATTTTTGCTATAGGGCGCGTACACTCACCAGAAAGACAGAGACAGAGAGACAGAAAGCGAGAAACTCACGCCACACGTGCCAGGCGTGAGTTTAAGTCACCTGGTCTGGGACTTGAACCGTGGTTGACTACATGCAAGTCCAGCGACATAGCCATTACACCAAGTGCTGGTCATGGAAGTCATTCTTTTTATGGAGACGCCTGTCTCCATAAGTGGGTTCACTTTTGATAATGGCATTATCCATTTACGAGGGCAGCCCTTTCATGATCTAATCACCTATTAAAGGTTCCACCTCTCAACCCTGTTACAATGGCAGTTTAATTTTAACATGAGTTTTGGAGAAGACATTCAAATGATAGTAGGAACCTTCTTTTAAACAAGCAGGAATTTAGTTCCTCGAGTAGTTGAATTTAGGGGTGCTTTGTGTAAACTGTCTCTTATTTTCTTCTCATCCCTTTGAAGGGGGAAAAAAAAACTGAACCATGAACAAAAACTTCATGTTGAAAAGGAAGTCCAAATTCTCTCTCTGCCCTTGTCTCTAATATTGAATTTCCATTTATAAGTTTAAAGTTACCTCATGTATGAAATAAATATGTAGATGCTAAAGAGGCCAGAAAATGTTATTTCTTCAACTTTTGAAATATGTGATGGAAAATGGTTTCTTTGGAGTTCCTATTTTTCTTTTTTTTTCTTTTTTTTTTTTTTGAGAGATTTTCACTGTAGGGCGCGTGCGCTCGCCAGACAGACAGAGACATAGAGACAGAAAGCGAGAAATCACCCCCCAGGGGGGATGGTCACGCCACAATCCCTTCTCCTCCATTCTCCTCTCGGGATCTTGGGCACGCACGCACACGTGCCCGGCGTGAGTTTTAAGCCACCGGGTCCGGGACACGAACCGCGGTCGACTACGTGGGAGTCCAGCGACATAGCCATTACGCTAACTGCTGGTTCCCCCTATTTTTCTTTATAGCATCACTCCGGACATTGACAGAGGTTGGACAGATCAAAATGACTGGTTAGGAAAGGGAGTGGACACTGCCCAGCCTTCGGCTGTGTATCTCTTGAGATTTCTGCAGGCCCTTTGGGCTCCAGGGAACCCAAGTTACAAACTATAGTCTAGATGATTGCTAAATAAGGTGCTAACTCTAAAAATCACACCTTTTTTTTTTTTTAAGGTCTGGTGAGGAAGGCTATTATCCTGAACTTACTGAAGTTTGTGAAAAGCGCCTTCAAGGTTTAGCTCCTAAAAGCAGAGCTTTGAGAAAAGATAAACCTGCAGCAACAGCATCCAGTTTTACTCCAGAAGAATGGGAAAACATTAACGGTGATATAAAGGTATAGAGTAATACCAGTTTTTGATGATATTATGGTGACATCCTTTGTGTGTCTACTTAGCTGAAATCCCAGGCTTACTCTTTGTCAGTAAAGGGCTTTTAGTGGTAATTACTTAGGTAGTATTGATTGCTTGTTACACCTGGAGAATATTGTGAAAATCTTTGTGTGTGTGTGTTTGTGCATGTACACACATACGTGTATTTTGAAGGGTTGAATAATTCAATAATTCAAAGGGATGAGTAATTCTGTCCTATAAAAGAACCATAGTGTAATCAGCTTATGTGACAATTCGGTTCATTAAACATTATTAAGTACCTATAATGTACCTGGCACTGAATTTATAAGTGAGATTAAGATATAGGTATTGACTCAAGATATATACAGTTTAAAAACGAAGATGAATAATAAATCGATTTTAAATTGTCATGCTGAGGAGGAGTGCTTTTAGCCCAGGAAGTTCAGGAAAGCTTGCTAAAAGGAGTGATGAATAAAATCTTGTAAAATGAAAGTAGGAAGGGCAATAACAATGTGAATACATTTAACCATACTAAACTGTACACTTAATAATTAAGATTGGAGACCAGCAGTTGGAGTAATGGCTGTGTTGCTGGACTCCCATGTAGTCGACCGCGGTTCAAGTCCTGGACCCAGTGGCTTAAACTCACACTAGGCATGTGTGTGTGCGTGCCCAAGATCTTGAGAGGAGAATGGAGGAGAAGGGATTGTGGCATGGCCATCCCCCCTGGGGGGGGGTTGATTTCTCACTTTCTGTCTCTCTGTCTCTCTCTGTCTTTCTGGCGAGCACACATGCCCTATAGCAAAAACCTCTCAAAAAAAAAAAATAATAAAATAAAATAAAATAAAATAAAACCTTGAGACGGTAAAGTTTTTTATTCTTCTTTTTTAACCAGAAGGTGTGTGCACTTGCCAGAGAGCGAGAAAGGGAGATGGACAGAGAGGGAGAGAGAGGAAAATCACCCCCAATGGAGCGAGGTTACCCCACAATTTTCTCTCCATTTTTCCATCGCATTGGGATTTGGGGCAGGAACACTCACACACCTAGAGTGTTTTTTAAACCATTAGAGCCAGGATTTGAACCTGAGTTGACCATGTGGGATTCAGTTTCCTTAATCTAGGCTGCAGGGCCAACCTAAGATGGTAAATATCGGGTTGTCAGGAAAGTCATGATGCATTTTTGTATAGAAAAATATGTCCTGACTTTCCCAATGACTTAATATTATGTTACCTGTATTGACCACAATTAAAAAAAAAAAGGGAAGGGTATTCCAGGGTGAGAATGGAGGATCAAATTGTCACCTAAAAAATTGACTCATACTCACTGAGCATGCCCAATTAATGATTTCTTTTTTTTAAATTTTCTTCACTGTCATTATTTATTTATTAATTTTTTTATTGACGTTGACCAGAGAGAGACAGAGAGAAGGAAATTGAGAAAGCAAGCTTCCAAGTCCAGGACTTGAACTATCGTCAGCCATGTGGGAGTCCAGTGCCCTCAACTACCACACCGTTTGCTGACCCCTCCAGCCGCCTTAACCACCATGCCACCTATTGGCCCCACCGATGAATTATTTCAAGCTATATATTTACCTTATTTTTCTCCATTCTTCTCAGAGTTGGGTATCAGAAATTAAAAAAGAAGAAAATAAAATGCACGTTTATAACACTAGAACATTTCCAGCGAAGGAAGATCATTTGCCTCCAGTTCGTGGCTCAGACAGCCGTTTTCATGCTGACAAGGTAGGCCTTTTTGATGTGGGTGCTGGTGGAGAGAGAAATGGCTGTTTATGGGGAAGCTGTCTTGGTCTAGTAAGGGTAGCCCAAGTGCGATGTCCTCCAGGACAGGTGGGGGTCTTTGTCAACTGGCTGCTGTCACCTTCTTAGTAGACTGTATCTCACCACTTGGAAATCAAAACAGCTTTTGACTTTGAAGGCCCGCATCCTGTGATTACTGCCTTAGGGTAAGTGTGGTCCTTGGAGAGAGACAGAGAGACAGAGAGAGGGAAAGTGAGAAATCACTCACCAGAGGGAAGAGGGAAAGTGAGAAATCGCCATGCCACAATCCCTTCTCCTCCATTCTTTTGGGATTTTGGACACAAATGCACACATGCCTGGTGTGATTCTTCAAGCCACTGGGTCCAGGATTCGAACTGTAGAATAGGCATGTGGGATCCAGTGCCTTAACATCCACTCCACCAGCTGGCCCCTGGAACACTGATTTTACTTGAATGAATGACAGACAGCCAAAGTACTAAGAAAGGACTTCAAAAAATTCAAGTGTATTTTGCTGCATAAGATTTTGAAATCTATGCGTAGTCTTTTCTTAATTCATATTTACCATGAACTTTTTAAAGATCCCTCATATGGTTATTCAGACTTGAGTTTTTGGCAGACACTTTGTTGAAAATGAATAAAGTGGGCCTGTCACTTTAAGGAAAACTGTTACCAGTGAAAAAATCTGAGCTTTCTAGTAGAGTTTTTTTGTTGTTGTTGTTTTGTTTTCTTTTTAAGAGATATTTTTCTATAGGGCCTGAGTGCTCACCCAACCTAAGATGGTAAATATCGGGTTGTCAGGAAAGTCATGATGCATTTTTGTATAGAAAAATATGTCCTGACTTTCCCAATGACTTAATATTATGTTACCTGTATTGACCACAATTAAAAAAAAAAAGGGAAGGGTATTCCAGGGTGAGAATGGAGGATCAAATTGTCACCTAAAAAATTGACTCATACTCACTGAGCATGCCCAATTAATGATTTCTTTTTTTTAAATTTTCTTCACTGTCATTATTTATTTATTAATTTTTTTATTGACGTTGACCAGAGAGAGACAGAGAGAAGGAAATTGAGAAAGCAAGCTTCCAAGTCCAGGACTTGAACTATCGTCAGCCATGTGGGAGTCCAGTGCCCTCAACTACCACACCGTTTGCTGACCCCTCCAGCCGCCTTAACCACCATGCCACCTATTGGCCCCACCGATGAATTATTTCAAGCTATATATTTACCTTATTTTTCTCCATTCTTCTCAGAGTTGGGTATCAGAAATTAAAAAAGAAGAAAATAAAATGCACGTTTATAACACTAGAACATTTCCAGCGAAGGAAGATCATTTGCCTCCAGTTCGTGGCTCAGACAGCCGTTTTCATGCTGACAAGGTAGGCCTTTTTGATGTGGGTGCTGGTGGAGAGAGAAATGGCTGTTTATGGGGAAGCTGTCTTGGTCTAGTAAGGGTAGCCCAAGTGCGATGTCCTCCAGGACAGGTGGGGGTCTTTGTCAACTGGCTGCTGTCACCTTCTTAGTAGACTGTATCTCACCACTTGGAAATCAAAACAGCTTTTGACTTTGAAGGCCCGCATCCTGTGATTACTGCCTTAGGGTAAGTGTGGTCCTTGGAGAGAGACAGAGAGACAGAGAGAGGGAAAGTGAGAAATCACTCACCAGAGGGAAGAGGGAAAGTGAGAAATCGCCATGCCACAATCCCTTCTCCTCCATTCTTTTGGGATTTTGGACACAAATGCACACATGCCTGGTGTGATTCTTCAAGCCACTGGGTCCAGGATTCGAACTGTAGAATAGGCATGTGGGATCCAGTGCCTTAACATCCACTCCACCAGCTGGCCCCTGGAACACTGATTTTACTTGAATGAATGACAGACAGCCAAAGTACTAAGAAAGGACTTCAAAAAATTCAAGTGTATTTTGCTGCATAAGATTTTGAAATCTATGCGTAGTCTTTTCTTAATTCATATTTACCATGAACTTTTTAAAGATCCCTCATATGGTTATTCAGACTTGAGTTTTTGGCAGACACTTTGTTGAAAATGAATAAAGTGGGCCTGTCACTTTAAGGAAAACTGTTACCAGTGAAAAAATCTGAGCTTTCTAGTAGAGTTTTTTTGTTGTTGTTGTTTTGTTTTCTTTTTAAGAGATATTTTTCTATAGGGCCTGAGTGCTCACCAGACAGACAGAAAGCAAAAATCACCTTCCCTACCCCCAGGGGAATAGCCACATTGCAATCCCTTCACCTCCATTTCCTTCTCTGGATCTTGAGCACGCATGCATAAGTTCTTGGCATGAGATCCAAGCCCCTGGGTCTGGGACTCAAACAGTTGTAAACTATGTAGGAGTCAAGTGATGTAACCATTATGCCGTCTGCTGGTCCCTCATCTAGTAGGGTTTCAATGGTCATATGCTTACTTAAATAACTAACTGTGACAATCAATCAATCATCCCAGAGGGGGTACTTGTCAAGAGGCAAGATTACAACTGATTTAAAGATCTAATTGACTTTTTTTTTTTTTTTTTAGCAATTAATGAATCAGGGTGGCCTTTCATATAAAAATTTAGAAAAGGTGCTCTGCTGGGCATGATGGAATAAATTGTTTATGTAACATAGCTTGAGCAAAACCAAAGCAAAAGTGGACTGGTACATCTGGTTACTTAATTTTCTTTCCTCATTAAGGTTAAAGATGAAAGGACTTTTTCTTTCTTTCTCTCTCTCTCTCTTCCTTTCTGAGAAGTTTTTGCCATGGGGCGTATGCTCTTGTCAGAGAAAAATGAGAAATCAACCCCTAGGGGGAATGGTCATACCACAATCCCTTTTCCTTCATTCTCCTCTTGGGATTTTGGGCACACAGACCCTCGTACCCAGGGTTATTTTCAGGCCTCCATGTCTGGAACAGAACTGTGTTGGCCATGTGAGAGTTCAGAGCCTTAACCACCATGCCACCTGCTGGCCTTTGAAAGACTATTCTGATAAGCTCTGCGGTGATATTAACAAATGTGATTTTTAAAAATTATATAATGGAGACCAACAGTTGGCGTAATGGCTATGTCGCTGGACTCCTATGTAGTTGACTGCGATTTGAGTCCCGGGCCTGGTGGCTTAAACTTACGCCGGGCATGTGTGCGAGCGTGCCCAAGGTACTGAGAGGAGAATGGAGGAGAAGGGATTGCATGTGGCCATCCTCCCTGGGGGGGTGATTTCTCACTTTCTGTCTCTCTGTCTCTCTGGTGAATGTATGTGCCCTATAGCAGAAACCTCTCCAAAAAAAAAAAGAAAATGTATAATGGGATGTGTGCATAATTCCACAGGACCACTTTCAGGGGTGTGAAAGTGCCAAAAAGTCAAAAAGGTTGAGCCCTGTTGACATAATATGTTATGGATTATAATAGTAAGTATCAGATAATTTGGGAATATGTAGAAAAGAGATATGTTCTATTTCAGAGTCGGGGAGCACTGCCTTCTCTTATAATATAAAATATGATGTTTCAGGGGCTGGCAGGTGGTGTGGTGGTTGAGGTGCTGGACTCCTATGTGGCTGACCATAGTCCTGGACCTGGTGGCTTGTTTTCTCGCTTCTCTCTGTCTCTCTCTGGTCAAATGAAAAATAAGTAGATAAATAAATCAATAAATAGATAAATAAATAAAATGAAATAATTATTTTAAAAAACTGGTGGTTCATACTATATTTGATCCAGACATCAGTCCATGTTCAACTGGTATTGTTAGACGTTCATTAAAAAATGGGTTAATTTATAAAATTTTTCCCTTTATTGAATTAAAATTGACAAATTAAAAAATTATATATATTTATGGTATACAGCATGGTGGTTTTATAAATGTATACACTGTGAAATGTTTACCAAAATCAAACCAACGCTATGTATATACATATATACATATACATATACATATACATATGGATATATATATATATATATATATATATATATCCCCCTTAGAGGTGTTTGCCTTAGGGCATGTGCACTTGCCAGAGAGACAGGGACCAGACACGGTGAGAGAGAAAGTGAGAAATCACCACCCAGGAGGCATGGCCACATCTCAATGCCTTCTCCTTCTTTCTCTTCCTGGGATCTTAGATATGCACGCCCATGCACCAGTATGATTTTCAAGCCACTGGATCTGGGTCTCAAACCATTGTTGGCCATGTAGGAGTCCAGAGACGTAACCACTATGCCATCTGCTGGCCCTCTCAACTCATGTTTTGAACCCTTAAGGGGGTTTTCAAAGGTATATACTGTAAGATGTTTTGAGGGAGAGAGGGACCACACTTCTATAATTTTATTACAGTGTAATTGTCCTATTTTATTATTAGTCATTGTTGTGAATCTTTTACAACAGAGGGAGTATTTGTTCCTAATTTATAAATTAAATTTTATCATAGTTTTTTTGTTTTGTTTTGTTTTTTTTACAGGGAAACACATAGTACATACAGAGTCTGATGGTATTTGAGGTTTCAAGTATCCACTGGGGTCTTGGATTGTATCCCTCAGGGGCCAAGGGGGGACTACTATATTCATTTTCTAGGGCTGCTATAACAAAGTTACACCAACTTGTAGGCTTAAGATAATAGAAATGTATTCTTTTATAGCTCCAGAGTCCAGAAGTCTGAAATCCAGGCATAGGGAAGGCCATGCTTCCTCTGGAATCAGTAAGGGAGGATCCTTCTCTCTTCCAGTCCATGGTAGCTCTGGGTGTTCCTTGGTCTGTAGCAGCATAACTGCGGCCTCCAGCCTCACCTTCACATGGTGGGATTCCCTCTGTGTGAATCTCTTCTTTTTTTATGGCACCAGCCATACTGGATTTGGCTCACCATAATAACTGCATCTTAGCCTGATCACATCTGCAAAGATGCTGTTTCCGGATAGCGTAATTCACAGCTAGCAGGAGTTAGGGCTTTGCCATATCTTTTTGGGAGACAAAGTTCAACCCATATTACCATCTTAGCATGGGGAACGTTGTCTTTATAAGGAGGAAGTAGAGGGAACCAGCAGTTAGCGTAATGGCTATGTTGCTGGACTCCTACATAGTCAACCGTGGTTCGCGTCTGGACCCGGTGACTTAGAACTCATGCCGGGCACGTGTGCGTGCGTGCCCAATATCCCGAGAGGAGAATGGAGGAGAAGGGATTGTGGCCTGACCATCCCCGCTGGGGGGTGATTTCTCGCTTTCTGTCTCTATGTCTCTCTCTGTCTGTCTGGCGAGTGCACGCGCCCTATAGCGAAAACCTCTCCAAAAAAAAAAAAATAAATAAGAAGGAAGTAGAGTTCAAGTGTCACATGATAATTATTGAGCCTGGAAGGAGTACATAGTACACAGTCCATATGGTTTATATTCACCACATTACTAGGTCATCTATTTGCAATCACTAGCCTAATGATAGTGAAGTCATTTAATAGTTTAAAGATAAATCAGTACCTACTTAATTTTATTACTCTAAATTCTGTCTTATTCTCATTCTCTGGACTATTATCATATGTATTTTAATGCTGATGTTTCCTAGTACTTATCTAGCATAAGCTCGTATTGGTTCTGGAAGATGAACTATTTGTGAGCATATTTGCTCACCTCAGCATCAGGCTTGGGAGTTATTTGGACCACTTCACACCAGCAAGCACCTGGTCAGGAATAGGTAGGGACTAGAGCCACCCAAGGTAGCCAATCAGAGGCCTTCCCTGGGATTTCCTTAAATGAAATCTTTCTTCCACTCTAATGGGGAATGCCATGGGGATATTTCCTACTATATGAAGAAAGCAAGTAGCCATGGGGAAATACAATCAGTAGGCAAAGAGAAGCAGGGGATAGAGATTGGGGAGACAGGGAGAGCTGGAAAAAGGGCATGTGAATGCCTTTACCAGCAGTACTCCTCCCCTTTTATCAGTTACATGATATGAACTGATGAGTACAAAAAAAAAAATAGAAGTAGTTAGGCCAGGTAGTGGCATAGTTATTAAGGTGGCTGGATCCCATGTAGCTGACTTCATGGTTGGGGTTCTGGACCAGTGGCTTCTCATTTCTCTCTCTCTGTCTCTCATTCTCTGTGTCTCTCTGGCAAGCACACACATCCTATAGGAAAATTAAATAAAATTTAAAAAGTAATATAAATTGTGTGTCTGTCATTGTAAACAAAACAACTCTGGCTAATTCAGCTAAGTAGTTATTCTCATTTCTCCAGTGATTAGGTTGTAAAAAAAATGACTCAGAGTTTAGTACTTTTTTACTGTAAAAAATCAGTAATAATCACATTTCACATATATGAATTGAAAAATTTTATATATATGTAGGGCCAGCTAGCAGCTGGATCCCACATGGACAACTGCACAGTTTGAATCCCAGACTAGTGGCTCAAAAATCATACCTGGGGACCAGCAGATGGCATAGGGATTACATCACTGGACTCCCACATGGCTGACCACAGTTGGAGTCCCGGGCCTGATGGCTTACAAATCATACGAAGCGCATGTGCGTGCATACCCAAGATCCTAGGAGGAGAATGGATAAGAAGGGATTGCAGAGTGGCCATTCCCCTTAGGGGGTGATTTCTCACTTTCCTGGTCACTGTGTCTGTCTGTTTCCCTCTCTCTCTCTTTCTCTCGGGTAATTGCATGCCTTAAAGCAAAAACCTCTTCAAAAAGAAAGAAAGAAAGAAAGAAAAACATACCTAGTGAAAAGAAAAACATAACTGGTGAGAGTGCACCCATGCCCAAAATCCTGAGAGGAAACTGGAGAAGGGCCTGTGGCATGGCCATTCTCCCTGAGGGGTGCGTTCTCACTTTCCCTCTTTCTTTCTCTCCCTCTCTGGAGACTGCATGTGCCATACAGCAACATTAAAAAAAAACTTATATATACTTAAAAGCCATTAGATTATCTCCATAATTAACTACAAGGATTTAAATTCCTTTCTTTTATCTGCTTATATTATGGTATCTATAATTTTTAAAATATACTTTTAATCACTATATATCTTTACAGTGTACAACATTGCTCTTTCTAGCACAGATACCATGCATATTAGTCAAGACAAAGACATTACTATATGTGTTATCAGTAAATAGCTTTTCACTTTTTTGGTATCAATTTTAATAATTATAATACTGCTTTGAAGTTAAAATTTTTGAAGTACTTTTTTGTCCATTCCACTCATGTGTGTGTGTGTGTGTGTGTATGTGTGTATGTGTGTATATATATACACACACACACACACACACACATATATATATATACACACACATACATATATATATATATGTAATTTATGTATTATGTATTATGTACATTTGTATAGGATCGTAGTTTATTTACAGACTCACAGTTCTGGTGGCTGGAAGTCCAAAGTTGTAGGCTGTAGGAAGCACAGAGGATGGTGGGCATGTGCAGAGAGAGAAATCCATTTGTATATCTTAATCCAATATTTTAATTTCATTTACAGTACAATCTCCTAATTTCAGATTAAATGTTCTCATAAAATGTGATTTTAATATTTTAGGGAAAATGTTCTCAAAGTAAACCAGCCAAAAAGAAAATTCCACGGGATTACGCAGAGTGGGATAAGTATGTTTTTTTTTTTTTATTTCTTGTATAAAATTCCTCATCAAAAAATTCTCTACTGTAACTATAAAAACTTCTTAAAATAATTATTATAAACCAGAACAAATCAAGAATACCAAATTATTTGGTAGAGTGAAAGTATTTAGTCTGATTCGTTTTGATCCATGTCATTAAGTTAATAAACTCCTGCCTCCTTTTCTTTATAAGATCAACCAAAATAACTAATGTAATCTTTACACTCATCCAAAATATAAAAATTTGAAACTGAAAGAAATTAGTCACAACTTTAATTACAAAATTCTGAACAGTTTGATCTGATTAATATTAAGTCCTCACTAAATTGCATGTTTTCTTAAGAAAGAATAAAGATGACTTGAAAAAAATCTATTATGCATTTTAATAGTATATGCACAGTAATACAAATAAAAGATTAACAATGATAAGCTTTATTTTCTTGCTCATTTTGTACTTTTTTTCATTTTTTCTTCTTTCATTTAAGATTTGATGTGGAAAAGGAATGTTCAAAAATTGATGAAGACTCCAAAGAAAAGACCATAATAGACAATAAGTCACATTTGTCTAGAATTGAGACAAGAATAGACACAGCAGGTAACTGGAGAAAAAATAAGGACAATTCAGTAGCCTTTAAATTAAAAAAATATTTAATTGACACATAACAATTGGAGTACGGTGTGATTTCTCAGTGTAATGTTCAATGTGTAATGATCAAAACAGGGTAATTAGCATATCTATCATCTCCAAACATATATTACTTTCTCTTTATAAAAAACTTTTTATTTATTTATTTTTAATTGTCAGAAGGCATGTGTACTTGATGGAGAGAAACAGAGAGGAGGAGGAGAAAGAACCCCTCAATGGAGTATGGTCATGTCATAATCCTTTTCTTCTACTTCTCCATCCCATCAGGATTTGGGGAACTTAACTACTGAGCTGGGGGGCTAGCCCATTTATCTATTATTTTCTATTGGGAACATTCAAGGTTCTCTCTTTTGTCTATACTGAAATCTAAAATAGTTAGCTATGATTACCTTACTGTACTATTGAATACTGGAGTTTATGCCTCTTAACTCTAATGTTATATTCATTAACCTAAATTTTTTGAATTATAATAGCAATGTCCATCTAAGTGACACTGCCTCTAGGTGCTGCACATTTCTATTGAAAGTTTCAGGTAGACTTAAGAGTGCAGTGGTTAAATGCTACACAGAGCAAGCCAGATCCCAACTGTCTGACCAGAGTTAAAGTCAAGGTCTCAGTAGCTTGAAACACACACTGGACTTTTGCAGGCTTGCCTAGGACCTTGGCAGGATGGAAAACTGAAGGTAAAAAGTTTATAAACTTTGGGCCCAGTCACAGTGACACAGTTTGGGAGAGTGCGATTATGTGATGGCTGGCGCCTCATGGAAGGCCTGGGCTTGGTTCCCAGGCCAATTGAAACATGCTGGACAGGGAGCCCATGGCTCTAGCTAATTGGAAGGCTGAGGCAGGGAGATAGTAATGTGGGTAGACCTGCCAAAAATACCTCTCTCTCTCTCTCTATCTCTCTCTCTTCCCTTCACACATAAGTGCTCATTCTCACTCACTTGTAAAAAAAAATGTTTATAGAATTTCTCCTAGAGTCAACCACCCTAACAAATTCATTTCTATCTTTTAACGTGAGTAATCATTATAATGCTTACATTTAGTAAAACTTTCAAATATAAACCTATTTTTCTTACCTTAAGACATTTGTTTTTCTTTTCTTTTTAAGCCAGAGGGCATGTATACACATATGGAAGAGAGAGAAAAAGAGAAAGCATCCCATAATTAGGTCTGGTCATGCTATAATCCTTTTTCCTCCAAGTCTCCATACCACCAGGATCCTGGGCATACATTCAGGTACTCAGCATGTTTTCAATCCACTATGGTCAGGATTTAAACCCTGGCAGCCCTGTGGGGCTTTCTCTGCATAGTGCATAACCACTGTGCTGTAGGACCAGCCTTCATCTGTATTTTATTTCTTTTTTCAGTCTCTTTTTTCTTCAAGTTCCTGATTGATTGATTGATTTTTGGCTTTAAAACAAAAAGACAGAACAATTCGTTTTCATTTAGAGTTCATAGATGTAGGCCAGCCAGTGGTACAGTGGTTAAGGCAGCTGGATCCCACATGCCAACTTTGTGGTTCAAGTCCCAGACCCAGAGACTTCAAAAACACATGGGGTACATGTGCATACTTGCCCAAAATCCTGAAGAGAAGAATGAAGAAGAAGGGATTGCACCCTAGGGGGAGTGATATCTCACTTTCCCTCTCCTTCTGGCACACGTACATACCCTATGGCAAAAATCTAAAAATAGATAGATAGATAGATAGATAGATAGATAGATAGAAGTTCATAGGTATATAGCACCTTTAAAGTAAAACAAAACCAATCATAAAAAAAAGCTAAATTATGGTCAGCCTGTGGTGTGGTGGATAAGGTGGCTATATGCCACATAGCTGACTGTGTGGTTCTAGCGTTGGACCTAGAAGATTAAAAACTGCACTGCACTGCACTGCACGGCTATTTTCTTACTTTCCCTTTTTCTCTATCTCTGATGAGCACATGCACCCCTCTGACAAGATTTTTTTTTTAAATTAAATCCTTGGGTCAGCAGGTGTCATGGTGGTTAAGACGCTGGACACTCCCACATGGTTGACCACTGTCAAGTCCCAGACCTAGTGACTTGCTTTCTCACTTTCCCTCTCTCTCTCTCTCTCTCTCTCTGGTCAAATTAAAAAATAAATAAATGAATAAATAAAATTAAAAAAATTAAATCCTCAAACATTGTAAATGATTAAAAAAAAAGAAAAAACCACCCTTAAACTTAAGAAACCTTTGTTTTATGATTTTCTGCATCTGTTAAAATTAACATTTTGATTTAAATGAAAAAAATCATTATATTTTCACATACAACAGATAAAACAGATAACATTTACTTCTAGGTCTAACTGAGAAGGAAAAGGATTTTCTTGCTGCTCATGAAAAGGAAAAAGGAAATGAAGCTTTCAACTCAGGCGATTATGAAGAGGCTATAATGTATTATACTAGGTGAGCAGATTTTTGTCAGAGTTTCAACTTACCATTTTTTTTTTCTTTTTTTGGAGAGGTTTTTGCTACAGGCAGGGCATGTGCGCTCACAGAAAGACAGAGAGAGACAGAGAGACAGAAAGCGAGAAATCACCCCCCAGGGGGGATGGCCACGCCACAGTCCCTTCTCCTCCATTCTCCTCTCGGGATCTTGGACACGCATCCACATGCACCCGGGTCCAGGACTCAAACCGCAGTCGACTACATGGGAGTCCAGCGACATGGCCACTATACTAACTGCTGGTCCCGCCTCAACTTACCATTTTATAAAAATGTGCAGATGTCTGTGCAGAAGTCTCATGTAGGAAGTTCCTGGTTCCAGTCCCGAGACATCCCTGGATACGTCAGGCACATTCTTGCCCATAATTCCATAATTTGGGGCCAGTTGAAAGCTGTGGATAGGTCACAGCTTTGGGACCCTATTGGGGATGCTCTCTGTCTGTCTGTCTGTCTGTCTGTCTCACTCTTGGAAGAAATGGATCAAGAAACTTAAAAAGTGATGATATGTTTATTGTTGAAATGATATAAATAAGCTAAATAGTTTTCAGAATCATGAAAGATACTGTACTTGTGGTTTATTATAAATTCATCTGTGTTTGTCTTGTTTGTTCAATGCCTTTCTGAAACCTCTAAGTTCCTATCCCACTCTCATTTTAGACAGAATACTAACTTCTGTATTTTACAGAGAAAAGAGAAGCCAACAGAAAGGAACTTGATGGAAAATCCAATTAGTATAGATGTTAAGAACGGGGGTTCTGCAGTCAGACTACCTGGACCTCATCTTAGTATTTATGGCCCACCACAAGGCCTTTGCACATGTAGGTTCTTCTGTATAGAATGCTCGTCCCTCCTCTTACTATTAATTGCAACTTCTCCTTTAGATCATACCTAACGTCTTTGAGAAAGTCTTCCCTAACCTCCTAGATTAGGCTAAATCTCCAGTGCTTTGGCCACATTATAGGCTCTTAAATAATCTTTTTTTTTTTTTAAGATTTTATTTTATTATTTTTATTTTATTTTATTTTTTCCATAGGGGACATGCACAGAGACATAGAGAGGGAGGAAGTGAGACAGCCCCCAGTGGGGGATGGCCATGCTATAATCTCTTCTCCTCCATTCTCCTCTTTGGATTTTAGGCATGTATACACATGTACCCAGCATATTTTTCAAGTTGCCGGGTCTGGGACTCAAACATGGAGTTGGCCATGTGGGATCTCATGCCTTAACCACGACACCATCTGCTGGCCTCTAGGCTCTTATATAGTCTCATCTTTCATTTGTGGCACTTGTCAGAGGTTTGATTTAAGTTTATATGATCTGATACTATTTGGACTGTAAGCTCTAAGAGTGGAGCCCACTTGTGAAGTTTTTTGTTTATTTGTTTTTAATAGCATTGTATCCCCAATGCCCAGCAAAGTGTCTGGTTCATAGCAGATATTCAGTAAATACGTGTATGAACTTTTGAAGTTCTTACATTGGGTGAAAAGTAGACTAAATTCCTGAAATATTGTTTTGGACAAGCTGCTAAAGAATTACTGATGTTACCTCAGAACTGAACTATACTTTTTTCTTTCATTGTCGTTTGGATGTCTAAAGAAGTTTTTCTTAGACCGGTTAAGTTTGTCTTAGCCTGGTTAAGGTAGAGAGGATATTATTTGCTAGATCATTCTTTCAGTACTGTCTCCCAGGTGAAGGTCAGCCCTGAGAGTCTCTTGTCCATTATAAGGAATAACATTCTTCTTCTTTTTTTTGAGGAGCCCTATAGTTAAAGAATTAAAATAGTCCAGTGTGATAATTAAGAAAACTCAGACTTTATGACCTGGGAAGGGCCTTTTTCTTTTTAAAATATTTTTGTGTCTTGTTTTCATTTATTTACTTTTAATTTGCCAGAAGGTAGATCTGCTTGCTAGAGAGAAAGTGAGATAGCACCCACCATGGGAAGGGGTACACCACAATCTCATCTCTTCCATATCTCCCTCCTCTTGGGATTTAGGGCATGCACGCACATATGTCTGGCTTGTTTTTTAAGCCACCAGATGTGAGACTCATAATTTGGTCATGTGGGATCCAGCCTCCTTACCCACCACACCACTGGCTGGCCCATGTTTTTTTTTTTATTGTTAGACAGCATATATGTTCCCCCACAAGAGAGAGAAAGCACCCCTGATGGGCATGTTCATGCCACAATCCTTTTTCCTCTATTTCTTCATCTCTGTAGGATTTGGCACATGCCCACATACACCCAGCATACTCCTCAAGACATAAAACTGGGATTCAAACCATGGTCAGCTATGTAGGATTCAATTTTGGGGAACCAGCAGTTAGCGTAATGGCTATGTTGCTGGACTCCCACGTAGTCGACCGTGGTTCGCGTCCCGGACCCGGTGGCTTAAAACTCACGCCGAGCGCGTGTGCGTGCGTGCCCAAGATCCCGAGAGGAGAATGGAGGAGAAAGGATTGCGGCGTGATCATCCTCTCTGGAGGGTGATTTCTTACTTTCTGTCTCTCTATCTCTCTCTGTCTGTCTGGCGAGCACACGCGCCCTATAGTGAAAACCTCTCAGAAAAAAAAAAAAGGATTCAATTTTGTATGTGTAGCACTTAACCACTGTGCTATGGGGCAAGTCCCTTGGGCAGATTAATTTCCTCTCTTGCTTTCATTTCCTCATGTGATGCAGCTATAATAGTGGCTACTTCAGAGCTCTTCTGTGGATTAAATAAAACAATGCACTGAAAGGCTGAATAACATGGTGGTAAAGAGCACAGACCATCTGGGTTTGAATCGTGGCTCCACCATTGGTTTGTAGCCAGGTCAGGTTACTTGACCTTTCTGGTGCATCTGTTTTCTCATCTGTGAAAAGGGAAGAACAGTCATACCTCCTCTACGGATTATAATGAGAATTGAATAAACTATGTACGTAAGGAGCTTAGTACCCGACCTGCGGCAAGTACTCAGTGTCAGGCACTCTTATTGTTTACTCTTAAATGTATTTTCCAAGTGTGGTCTCTACCCAACATGTAGTTTCTTTATAATCATGTTTAATGATCTTTGAAAATTGATTCTTTTGCTGACTTTTTCTTTTCCATCTTCTCTTCCTGTTCTGGATTTATTAAGTTCAATGCACTGGTACCCTTATCTTTCTGCTATCTGGGTAGTCATTATCTCACAGAATTTCAAATCAACTTTTTAAGCAAAAACAGGTAGATTTTAAATTCTTCTTTTCATTAAATATTTTGACTCATTAATCTAGTATTTGTTCCCTTGAAGTCTGTATTCCTTATCCCACTGACTATTGTACTGTTTCCTTCAATTAAATTCCTTGCATAAATTACTTTATGATAATTTCTTTTTTTGATAATCTTTATAGTTTAATCTACTTTTTTTTTAACTTAAAAATTGTTGTTTATTTGGTAGTAATAAACAGCAGAATATACATTTTCAAAAAGATAAACATTTTTTGAAAAAGAGTAGTTTCTTTCCACCAAGTACCAATTTATATTTTCATCCTTTTCCATGTTTCTATGTTATGAGTTCTCTACAGTTTTATCAAAACTGCTTTCTCAGACTCACAAAAGTCTGACTCACTAGCTTATTCTGTCTTTAACCTCATATTCCTAATGGGTTTTTTATATTTTTTATTTTTATTATCATCATAATCTTCTTTTTTTTAAATATTTTTTCTTTATTTATTTACATTCATTCACTGTTCATCATTATAACATACAAAATGAGATTTTTCCATTGAGAATACACTGTATATTGGCTCAATCAAGCACATCAACATATGTGTTATTGTCAACAAATCATTTTCCATTTATTGTTTTCTGTATATTTTGCCTTTTTTCCCATCTTTGATTCCCTATCTCACCCTCTGCCATCTCCCACCCTCCTCCCACACTGTGTCTGGTATCTATTGTTGCTTTCTATGCCTCCCCCATTTTATTGTTTCACTAAATATCTTAATAAATCTAAATATTTTCAATAGCAAGCACAGCTGATATGTACATATCCATGAACACAAGTCTGACTTTAGGCATAAACCTCAGTGAATAGAATGAACATACTATAACGTAGCACCTAACTAGGGCTATATAGCTTAACTGCAGTCATCAAATAGGTATTTCTAATGCCTTTTTTTTTTTTCTTCTGAAAATTTTTTTTTTTTATTAATTTACATTCATTCCCTGAGCATCATCACAACATTCTAAATGTGGTTTCCCATCTAGAATATACTATATAGTGGCTTAATAATGCATGTTATCATCCATAATATTCCATTTCTACTTTCATATATATGTTTTTTTACCCCATGTCTAGCCCTCTGCCCTATTCCACTCTCTTATTACACTATCTCTGCTGTCTACAGTTGTCTTCAATCCCTTTTCCCCCAACATTTCGTTGGTCACACAATATCATAAGTAATCTAACTACTTTCAATAGCAAGATCAGCCGATGGTTTCAAGAAAAGCAGTTTTGAACTGGTAAGGATATTTCTTTGAAACTTAAAGCCTAGAAACAGGTTAGTATTCTGTTCAAATAGTCGGAACATGAATCTATTGATAGCTGAAGACAGGACAAAAGTCCTTAAAACCAGACAACAAAGCTTAGAAGAAAAGCAGCAATATTTTAGTCAAGTCGTAGAATACTGTTTCATCAGTTCAGTCTCATGTACTTAATCTTTCTTCTGTATCTGTTGAGGTTCGATGTTCCAGATTGAAATCTGGGATGTAATACTCAACTCCAGCTTTTGGCCCTACAATTAAGTTGCCCATTTTCTTAGTTTCTGAACTCTTATTTCTGTGTGTCTGCATTTAATTTTACTGACATAGCACTCCCTTAAGAACTTCTTGGAGATCCGGTCTGGTGCTGGTAAATTCTTTCAGGTTTTGTTTATCTGGGAAAGTTCGTGTCTTTTCTTCCCAAATGAACGATAACCTTGCTGGGTACAGAATTCTCGGTTGAAATTGCTTTTCCCTTAATACTTTGAATACATTTTCCCATTCTCTCCTCGCTCTCATTGTTTCCGATGAGAGGTCTGCCGTTAGTCTGATGGGATACCCTTTGTAGGTAACTTGCCTTTTTTCTCTTGCCAGTCTTAGTATCTTGTCTTTGTCTGTGGTTTTGGTCAATCTGGCTATAATGTGTCTTGGAGAAGATCTTCTTGGGTTGATTCTATTTGGGGTCCTCTGTATTTCTTGGGACTGAATCTTTGAGTGCCTCTCCAGGTTTGGAAAATTTTCTTGTAAGATTTCATGGAATAGATTATCAATGCCCTTATGAGTCTCTTCACCTTCTGGGATGCCTATTATCCGGATGTTTGGACGTTTGATGGTATCTAGTACTTCTCGCATATTATTCTCAAATTTTTGGGCCATTTTCTCAGTCTTCGCGGTGGATTTTTCTAGGCCAACCATTTTCTCTTCTACATTAGAGATTCTATTTTCTGTATGATCTAGTCTGCTTTTAATACTTTCAAGGGAGATTTTGACTTCTTGTATTATAGCCTTCATCTCTAACAGTTCCATCTGATTCTTTTGTAAAGTGTGAAATTCCTCTTTTAGATCTAGCATGAATTTCCTCACCTCCTGGAACTCTTCAACTCCTTTCTCCTTCCTCTTCAGCAGTTCCTTGTCTCTCTTCTCTTCCATCTCTGTTAGCTTTGCCATTATGAATGTTCTGAATTCTTTATCAGACATTTCCATGATTTCCATTGAACTGTGTGTGGATAAAGAGGAGCTATCCTTTTCCCTTGTGGGAGAGGTATTTTCCTGCTTCCCCATATTTCTTGTGGTCCTGCAGCGATTTCTAGTCATCTGGTGGATGATCGGTTTCTTCCCAAACTTGGAAGTTCAATCACGCGAGTTTTGGATGCTGGAGGCCCAGTTATCAGTGGGACATCTTCCTTTCTCCCCAAATGGCTAGATCACAGGAGCCATGGAGCTGTCTGTCTCTTGAAGAAGGGCTGTTCTTAATCTACTTTTTTTAAGATTACAAACTAATGTATTTCTGTTAACATGATAACAGCTGAATGAAAGGTATTAGTTGTGATTGATTGCTTGTTAGAATTATTTATTATTTATTTAATTGCTTTGTTTTGTTTTGTTTTTAAGAAGTTTCTGCCTTATGGTGCATACACTTGCCAGAGAGGGAGAGACAGACACAATGAGAGGGAAAGTGAGAAATAACATCCCCAGGATGGCCACGCTGCAATCTCTTCTCCTTCATTCTCCTCCTAGGATCTTAAGAATGCACACATGTGCTTGGCGTGATTTTCAAGTCACCAGGTCTGAGACTCAAACCACTTTGGCCATCTGGGAGTTCAGCAACATAACCACTACACCATCTGCTGTCCCTGATTGCTTTGTTTTTTTAAAAAATTGCCAGAGGACTGTGTCCTCACAGCAAGGGGAGTTGCCAGGGGTGGGAGGAGGAAGGAAGATCACCTCCTATGGGAGATGATGGAGCTGTAATCTCATCTTCACTTCTCACTCCTTTCAGAATTTGGGCATGAAATGCACACATTTCCTTCCACGTTTCTCAGGCCACTGGGTCCGGTACTCCAACCATGTGGTTGCTCATGTAGGATCCAATCACAGTCTGGATCTTGAGCATCAGACCACAGGCTAACCCTTAATGACCTCTTTAGAGACTGTCTCCAGATACAGTCGCACTCCAAGATCTTGTGTAGTTAGGACTTCAACGTATTTTAGGAGGACACATTCCACCCATTCACAGGCTCTAATTGTTTTATTTACAACTGGAACCTAAGTTTCTCTATATGTTTAGGTTTACTTTGGGCCCACTTGTTGCCAACAAGTATTTCTTTTATAGGAGTATATCTGCACTTCCCACGGTTGCTGCCTATAACAATCGAGCTCAAGCGGAAATCAAGTTACAGAATTGGAATAGTGCTTTTCAGGATTGTGAAAAGGTCTTGGAGTTAGAACCCGGAAACTTAAAAGGTAAAAAATATACATATAATGCTTTTAAATGTATAGCAGGACACATTAAAGACCATTTGCAGACACTTGTTACATTTACATTATAATTATTAAAGATAATCTTGAATTTCTGTATGTGAATCACCACCTTTGTAAAGTTACTTTTAATTTTAACTTTAAATTGGAATTTAAATCCTTGGTTATTTATACTGAGGTAGCTAGTAATCTAATAGAACATATATGTATTTTTTTAAGGTTTTTGCTGTAGGGTGCATGCGTTCACCAGAGAGAGACAGAGAGGGACATAGTAGAGAGAAACTGAGAACTAACCCTCCAGGGGAGATGGCCATGCCAGCCATGCCACAATTCCTTCTTCTCCATTCTCCAGGGATTTGGGCATGCGTGTACACGCAGCTGGCGTGAGTTTCAAGCTACCAGGTCTGGGCCTTGAACCCTAGTCAGCCATTTAGGAGTCCAGTGCCTTAACCACTATACCACCTGCTGGCCCCAATATATATGTATTTTTAAGAGATAAATATTGGGACTAGCAGATGGCATAATGGTTATATCACTGGACTCCTACGTAGTTGACCATCGCTTGAGTCCTGGATCCAGTAGCTTAAAACATACTGGGTACATGTGTGTGGATGCCCAAATTCCAGAGAGGAGAATTGAAGAGAAGGGATTGTGGCATGGTCATCCCCAATGAGGGGTGATTTCTTGCTTTCTGTCTCTCTGACTCCCTCTATCTCTTCAGTGAGCACACATATCCTATAGCAAAAAATTTCTTTTAGGGGCTTGCAGATGGCATGGTGGTTAAGAGTGCTGGACACCCACATGACTGATTGCTATTTGAGTCTTGGAACTGGCGGCTTGCTTTCTTACTTTCCCTCTCTCTCTCTCGCTCTGTCCCTCTCTGGTCCAACTTAAATACATACATATATACATACATACATACACATATACATAAATTTAAATGAAATAATTCTTTTTTAAAAAGACTGTATTAATTTATTTTAATTGGGCCAGAGAGGGGCAGAGCAAGAGACAGAAAGAGAGAGAAAACTAGGTCCAGAACTTGAACCACAGTCAGCCATGTGGGAGTCCAGTGCCCTTAACCACCACACCACGTGCTGGCCCCCAAAAATTTCTCTTAAAAATGAAAGAGATCTCTCAGGCTTGCATTTGATAGGCCTTTCTATCCCTCCCCCCCCCCAATTTTAAGTATATTTTGATACAGATTTTCTAATATTTATTAATATAAAATAATATGCCCAAACTCTATTTAAAACCCTTTAACCTCTTCTCTGTATATGGCCACTCAGAGGGACATAGATATAATTTAATTTTAATTTAATAATAATGTCAATAATTTAATTTTAAATTAAACTTGTTTAAAACTGACTATATCATGCCACCAAAAACTCGCACTTTGTCCTGAGTCCCTGTCTCAGTGACTGACCGCCTTGTCATGGTCCACGCCTGAGGTGTGCTGATCAGCCTTGACTCTCCTTTTCTGTTATGAAGAAGGATAACAGAAGGGGCGGCATCCATTGTAACAGACATGCTACTTTTTCTTAAATATTTATGGATTTAAGTAAATATAAACTTTTTTTCACATATTTGTTCCTACAAACATTGGAGGTGGTGACAGAAGCCATGGGTATGCTGGGGGGAGCCTGGTGCACCAGCTGCTATTGTCATTGTCACATTGCCCTGTACTTATCTGTAGAGTCTCCTTGGGCCTTATTCTGTACCAGCTGATCTTTGTCACAGAGTGCAGGTGGGCTCCCAGGTGTACTAATGCCTGGTGAAGATTCCGTCATCTCCCGATGAGCCCTTACCACCACTTTGTCAGGCCCTGGGCCAAGCAGTTTAAGTGTATTAACTCCATTAATTTTCACAGTAGCCTTGTAGAGGTGCAGACGCTATTAGCACACTAATTTTACAAAGAAGCAAACCAAGGCACAGAGAGATTAAGCAACTCACCCAAGATCACACAGTTAACAAATGAAGAACCAGGACCCAACTCTGGACAACAGACTCCAGAACCCCCACCCAACCGTTGTGCTACTCTTCTGCTGCTGTAATTCTTCTTTACTTGAGTAATGTCCTCATACTATGCCTTAATACCTGAACCTTCACTATTAAAAGACAAATTTGGTAGAACCAAATCTAGTAAAAAGGTAGGCATAAAATATTAAGAGGTTGGACCAGCAGGTGGCATGGTGGTTAGGGCACTGGACTCCCACATGACCGACCATGGTTTAAATCCCAGACCTGGCAGCTTGCTTTCTCACTTTCTCTCTCCCTTGCTCTCTCACTCATGAGTGCAAATTCCCTATTCCCTTTTAAAAAAGTAATAATAATAAATTAAATAAGTAATTCTTTTACTTAAAATACAAAGTTCTGTTGGCTCAAGTGAATAAGTAACTTCCTCTTCAGAACTTTATTTTTACCTCAAAAGATCATTGTTCTAAGTGCAATGCAGTATCTTAGATTCCATCTTGGAACAAAAAGGACATCAGGGGAAAAACTGATGAAATTCACAAAAGGTCTGTAGTTAATAGTATTGGGCCAATGTAAATTTCATAGTTTTACAAATGTACCACAGTTATGTAAGATGTTGACATTTGGGGAGACTTAAGTGAAAGTACATAGGAACTCATACCATCTTCGTCACTTTTTTGTTTGTAAAATTAAATAACTAATTCTTAAAAAGATTATTCCAAAGACCAACAGATGGCATAGTGGTTATATCACTGGATTCCCACATAATCGACTGCGGTTCAAGTCTCAGACCTGGTAGCTTGAAACTCATGCCAGCATGTGTGTGTGTGCCCAAAATCCCGAGAGGAGAATGGAAGAGGAAGGACTGCAGCGTGATCATCCTCCCGGGGGGTGATTTCTTGCTTTCTGTCTGTCTGTCTGTCTCTCTCTCTCTCTCCAGCAAGTGCACACGTCCTATACCAAAAATCTCTCTCTCTTTAAAAAAAAAAAAAGATTATTCTAAATGAAGACGTTATATCATGAATATTTCTTCGTTAAAATTCTCTTTGGATATCTGAGTAGCAATAGCAATAACTCAATTATACTTAAAACCACAGTACTCCATGGCCCAGCCACGTGGCATACACTGCTAAGACACTATACTGGGACCACATGAGTGGCTGGGGTTCAATTCCTAGTCCAACCTAAGGACTAGGTTGGTGGCATGTACCTGTAATTCAAGAGCTTTGGAAGGCTGAGGCAAGGGGATCACAAACTCAAGCTTGCCTTTTGATTTTCCTTAAAGAAGGAAAATGTAACTGTTTAGTGAAAAATTTCCCAATAGCGCAGCACAATATGGAAGCTTTGAAGGGTGAGCGATAGAGTCTCTCAGTCCTCAGAGAAGCTGGCAGGGCCTGGGGCTGCCAGAGGGCTAGGCTGTTAGTGGTTGCCTGATAGCAGCCACTTCTGTTTTCCTTAGAATTCTTTTCTATATGTGGAAATGGGTGTAGTGAGACTGTGCATAATTACACCCCAAAGTATTCTCTGCTGCTTATATTCCTCTACTTGCAAATCCATTATAACTACAATGCCTTATGATCTGTATTTTGGTCAAACATCAGCTCTTCTGCGCCGTGCCACTACATACAAACATCAAAACAAGCTCCAGGAAGCCATAGAAGATTTGAATAAAGTACTGGACGTTGAGCCTGATAATGATTTGGCCAAAGTAAGTATGGAAAGTAATTTCTCACCCAATCCTGTAATTGACCATTTGTGTATTTATTTATGTTTAAATGGTATCAGTCATGCTGAAAAAATTATGTTGAGGATTAGGTCACAGCTTTAAAAGTAGGCGTATCCCAGGTATTCCAGAACGTTAGCATCTATTTGAAGTGGAATAGAGCAGGCTCTTAAAGAAACTGTCTAAAACAGTATAGCTACCTCTGAAAGATGTCTATTTAAACTTTCTCTTTCCTATATTGTTGTATGTAATGCTTTTCTCTGCACTAATCTCACTTTGTGATGCAGAATGGTTGAGAGGTTTCCTAGGTAAGATCAGGTGTGAGCTTCAGGGCTATGGAAGACTGTAGGTAGCGTGGCCAGTATTGCACTGTGGACAGCACGTGGATGCACTTGGGGACTTTCGGTTAAGGCCTACAGAGTAGAGAAGTGTCAAGAACTGTATAGTGTCTCAGAATTTTTTTAAGCTTATTTATTTCTTATATGGGGACAGAGGAAAGGGAGAGAGTGAAGCAGACAGCACCCCCAGCAGGGTCTTCATACCATAACCCCACCCTTAGTGCCTACCAACCAGGATCATTAGCACATGAGTGTGCCTGGCACTAAGAGGGAGACCTCACAGGCGTGGCCAGAACTTTACCAGGTGTCCCCAGCATCACAGAGCACTGTGTTACAGCAGTGCCACTGGAACTGGCCTAGGGTCTGAGATTTTACCCTACTTACAAATTAGCACTGCGATCTGGCAGTGAGACGTTCTGGGTCCGACACAAGAACCCTGTTACTCACAGCACATGGAGCAAACATCAGTGTCCCTCGCCCCTAAGTCCCAAAGGGTGATGCAGTGTCCTGTGTGGATTCTACACATCTAGTGGGTGTGTATAGAGGTGAGAATGCAGAGTTTAGAAAAACTCTATCTTATAATGAGCCGTAAGCAAACCTGCCCAACCTCTGCGGATTTCATGGAACATCGTATTTATTACACTGGAGAGGGAAGGAAACATGTTTACCACACTGGAGAGCAAGCAGACTGACCTCTGCTCTGCAGAGAAATGCTATCTTTATTTCCCAAGGCTATTCTTGATACAAACATCCTTGAAGGTAGTCCAGTTTAGTGCCTGTGCTCACAGTATAGTCAGAAATGAGAGACACTTGTGCAAAATTGTCCCCAATGAGTTGTCCACATGTACCTGTTGGGTGATCTATTGTACTTTCTCTGAGTGGCACTTGGCTTTTGTCAAGTCAGAATTTCAGAGGAGTAGGCTTAGGGCTCAGTTTAGGAACATCTCTCTTCCCTATAGTACTTCCTTTTTGTAATGGTTGTGTTTATTAGATAGTTAACATGGGGCCAGCTGGTGGTGTGGTGGTTAAAGCAGCTGTATCCCACAAACTGCTTGGTTCAAGTCCCAGACCCAGAGGCTTGAAAACCACACTGGGTATGTGTGTGTGCATGCCCAAAATTCCGAGAGTAGAGAAGGGATTATGGTGTGGCCATCCCCTATAGGAGGTTATTTCTCACTTCCTCTCTCTCTCTGTGTCTCTAGCAAGCACACATGTCCTATAGCAAATTAAAAAGAAAAAATGAGTTTTATTTATTTATTCCATGAGTGAGAGAGGCAGAGTAATGGAGACAGATATAAAGCACAGCTCTCCTGACAAAGTCTTGATAAACAGATCCACTCCTCAGCCTCAGACCTCCCCCCAATCCCTTCCCAGATCATTGGCACATGCTGTCTGGCACACTCAGGGGGCCTCTGGGTTTGAAATGGCAGCCTTCCCATGTGTGTCTGCCTTGTGGAGCTTCATGGCTGATCATGGTTCAAGTCCTGGACCTGGTGGCTTGCTTTCTCACTTTGTCTCTGTATATGTCTCTGGTCAATTTTTTTTAAAAAGTGAGTGAATAAATAACATTGAATAAATAATTTTTAAAAAATAAAAGAAAAACGTTCTCTGAAATATGATGATTATGTTGCAGAAAATCTTGTCAGAGGTCGAACGAGATCTGAAAAATTCTGAACCTGCTTCTACAACTCAAACTAAAGGGAAAAGGATGGTTATTCAGGAAGTAGAAAACTCTGAAGATGAAGATGGAGAGGACAGCAGAAGAAAACACAATGATGGCAGTGGAGGTAAGAGTAACACAACTTTTCTATTTAGTTTATGTAAAGAACTGCCTGTTTATATGATGACCTGCTGTTGTTTTCTATTTGTATAGAAATTCTTAGGCTACTACTTTTTCTAACTTTATCTTATAAATAACAAGCAAGTTTAGCTCATCTCTTTCTTTCTCCTTCCTTCCTTCCTTCCTTCTTTCCTTCCTACCTTCCTTCCTTCCTTCCTTCCTTCCTTTTAGGTTTTTGGCATAGGGCACACTCACTGGAGAGAGACAGAGAGAGGGAAAGTGAGAATTCACCCCCCGGGGGGATGGCCATGCCACAATCCGTTCTCCTCCATTCTCCTCCTGGGCATACACACACATGAACCTGGCATGAGTTTCAAGCCACCAGGTCTGGGACTCAAACAGCAGTTGGCCATATGTGAGTTCAGCGACTTAACCATCATGCCACCTGCTGTCACCATCACTTACTCTCCAGTGTTCTCATAGTGTTCATGAATTCTGTCCCAGGCCAGGTTTTTAGTTGTATTCAGTGGCAGAGACAGGGTAGAGTGCATTTACTCCTGAACTAGAACTGTTCTCTCATTACTATTTTTTGAATGATTAGCACATTCAAAAAGCTATGGATGTACTTTACATAGATAACATGATTTAATCCTTAAGGAATTTGTAGCTACCTGTACTTGTATAGATTAGGCAATGCAGACTTAGAGAAGGTAAGTTATACACTACATTTGCACAGGTTTTAGGTTGCGTAGTTGGGATATTGCCCCAAATCTGTGTGACTCCAAAGCCTATCTCAAAAATAATTATTGGATGCCAACTAAGAGGATATAGGTTCTATAAAACCCAGGCCAAATATCACCAGGCTGCACTGTCAAAGAAATAGATATTAATTTGGTGTTTATTTACTCATATGCTCATCAGTATACCAAGAACTCTTAATAGAAGTTGAACCTCTGAAGTTCATCCTTTGAGCAGTTGGCGTAATGGCTATATCACTGAACTCCCATGTAGTTGACTGTAGTTCGAGTCCTGGACCCAGTGGCTTAAACTCATGCTGGGCACGTGTGCATGCATGCCCAAGATCCTGAGAGGAGAATGGAGGAGAAGGGATTGCAGCATGGCCATCCCCCCTGGGGGGTGATTTCTTGCTTTCTGTCCTCTATCTCTCTCTGTCTTTCTGGCAAGTGCACACACCCTATAGCAAAAACCTCTCAAAAAAAAAAAAAAAGAAAGAAAAAAGAAAAAAAGCTGAACCTATGAGGCCAGCAGGTGTCATGGTCATTAAAGGCACTGGATTCCCACATTTCCCACATGGCAGACTGCAGTTCAAGTCCTGGATCTAGAGGCTTGCTTTCTCGATTTCTCTTTCTCTTTTTCTCTGGTCAAATTAATAATAATAATAACCAAAAAATGGAATTAAATAACTAATTCTTTTTTTTAAAAAAGGAAGTTGAACCTATGCTGAGGAGTAAGTGAATTAAAGACTAGTGTGATCATTTTGAAACTAAAAGACCTTCCTCACATAGAAATAAACAAGCAGGAAAGAGCCAGTCATCTCTAAAAACCACTAATACTACTTTTATGATTAGAAATCTGAGTCAGGAGATGGCTAGGCTGTTTCTCTCTGAGGTAGGCTGTTGCCCATAGGTGAGTCCCATAGAGAAGAAGCAGTATTCCCCTTCATAACCCAAAGAGCCAGAGTTTTACAAGAAGCATTGAGATCCTGCCATTCATGCATACACCCCATTCTTTGTAGATTAGAGAAGATACAAAATTTATCAGTTTTAGAAAATAAAAATGTCTTGATAGAATATAAATTTAAAAACCAGTAAGTTCCCTTTTATCAGGAAAGCAAATCAAGGTAAAATAGTATAAATAAATGGAGATACAGACATAATCCTTTCATCCTAAAAAAGAAGTGAAATCAGTTGAACGCACTTAAGCTCACCTTTCCAAGTCTGTTGCTAGGTGACATGTACTTTTTTTTTTTTTTAAGAGGTTTTTGCCTTAAGGCACATGCATTTGCGGGAGAGAGAAAGAGACAGAAACAGTGAGAGGGAAAGTGAGAAATCCCCCCTGGGGAGGTGACCATGCTACAATCCATTTTGCTCCATTCTCCTGTGATATTGGGCACACACGCACAAGTGCCTGGCATGATTTTCAAGCTACTGGGAATGGGACTCAAGCTGTGGTCAGCCTTGTGGGAGTCCAGAGACGTAACCGCTACACCATCTGCTGGCCTAGGTGACATGTAAAAAGAGACCCTAGGGCTTTGGACATGAAAGAAGTAATCCAAGCCACTTTTAGGAAAATAATGTTAAACTCCTGAGGAAGTTAGCACATTGGAATCATTGCACATAGTTCTCCATCTCACCACACTCCAAGGAAGAATTCTTGGTCATTGTGTGGTATGTTCCAGGGAGCCTGAGGAAGCGACCAGTGCTTCCTAACCTTGACTGGTCATGCTGCTCCTTCACGAGCTCCCCGTGGGCTGGTCCCACAGCTCATCCAGAATGAGGTGCAACATCACCGATGGATTTAATTTAACAGCCGGTCATTATTGAGTTCCAGCTCCATCAGGTACTGAGATAAGATCATGGGTAGGCTTTTTTTAAAAAAAATCCTGACTTCTAAGGCCCCATACTAACAAATACTTGCCCATTTGCCAAGATGATTCAATGTGGGCATCTGAGTTCATGGGCTTCTCTCAGAAGAGAAGCTCCCCACCTATTTGTGTTTTCCTTCCCTAGTAGAGATTGGCTAGAAGTGGCCATCACCAGAGACTGGCGTTTATTCTCTATATCTCCCCACAGGGTCTAGGAGAAGCAATCAGAAGAAATTGAGCATCTATGCTCCCCTGTAGTGCTGTTGCTTATTCCCATTTATAAGTAAAATATATGACAATTAGTCACTCAAGGAGAAGAATATAGTTAAATATCGCTCCTCTTCTAGAATTGCCAGGATCAGGGGTAGAAGGAAGGTATTTCTAAGAGTTAAGACAACAGACAAAATCATGAAAAGCCTGTATTTCTAGAAGCCATAAAACACACACATAAACTTAAAGGTGGGCCAGCCAACAGTGGGGTATGTAAGGTAGCTGGATTCCACATTGCCAACTTTGCAGTTCGAGTCCTGGACATGGCAACTTGAAAAATGTGCTGTGTGTGCCTGTGTGCCAAAAATCCTGATAGGAAAGTGGAGGAGAGGGGATTTTCACATGGTCATCCCCCTGCTTTCTCTCTCTATCTCTGTGGTGAGTGCACACACTCTATGGTAATTAGAAAAACAAAAAAAAAGACAAATAACAAACTATAAAAATGTTTAAGGGTTGATAACCTTATGAAATTTTTTTTTTAATTTTTACTTTTTCATAATTCCTTCCCCTCTTTTTTTGGAGAGGTTTTTGCTATAGGGCGCATGCGCTCGCCAGAAAGACAAGAGAGAGACAGAGAGATAGAAAGTGAGAAGTCACCCCCCAGGGGGATGGCCACACTGCAATCCCTTCTCCTCCATTCTCCTCTCGGGATCTTAGGCATGCACGCACATGTGCTGGAGTGTGTTTAAGCCACTGCGTCCAGGACTCGAACTGTGGTCAACTGCATGGGAGTCCAGCGACATAGCCATTACGCTAACTGCTGGTCCCTCCCCCCCCTTTTTAATAATTTCTTATTTACATTTAATTGTTGCTCATGTTTGTGGGGTATAATATGGACTTTCAAAGCATGTGTACTGTGTGCGATAAATCAAGGATATTACCATATTTTCAACAAAGAATACCACATTATGATGTGTGCCTTCAATTTTAGCTTCACTAGTTTTAGGGGTTTTATTGAGATATATTTATAAGATTGGCCATGCCCTCTTTTTACTCTGTTGTAGTATGCTCTATGCTGTTCTGCAATCCAAATCATGAGTTTTTATAAAACAATAAGAAAAAGACAGTATAAGAGTGAACAAAGCATATAAATCCTAATGGAAAATAGAAATTAATCAATACCTTTGTATTAGAAATAAAAAATGAAAATGAAGTATAAATTCCTTTTTTCTCCTACTAAATTGGCCAAGATGGATGGAAAAAAGAGAGAGTGAGTACTCTATTTCATCAAAGGTAAGGTGAAATAAACACTCTTTTTTAAAAATTGAGATATGGGCCAGCCAGTGATGTGGAGGTTAAGGCAGCTGGATCCCGCATGGCCACCTGCATGGTTCGAACTGCTTATTCTTTGGGTGTCATATGTAAGAATCCATTATAAAATTCGAGATCATGAAGATTTACTCCTGTGTTTTCTCCTAAGGTTTTTATAATTTGGGCTTTTATATTTAGGACATTGCCTAATTTGGTGATATCAGTTCAATTTAGTTTAGTTTGTTTGTTTCTTATTTTTTGTTTGTTTTTAGTTTTTTGTTTTAAAGAGAGAGTTTTGCTATAGGGCGCATGTGCTTGCCAAAGACACAGAGAGAGACAGAGAGTGATAAGTCACCCCCTCGGGGCAGATGGCCATGCTCTAATCCCTTCTCATCCTTTTTCCCTCTCAGGATATTGGGCACGCATGCACACACGCCTGGCATGAGTTTTAAGCTGTTAGGTCTGGGACTTGAACCAGTCTACTATGTGTCCAGAGATGTAACCATTATACCATCTTCTGGTCCCTATTTTTTGTTTGTTCTTAAATGTGGAAATCTAGTTGTCTCAGCACCATATGTAAAAGAAACCGTTCTTTTCCTATTAAATGAACTTAGTGCCCTTATCAAGAGTTAATTGACCATAGATGTACAGGTTTATTTCTGGAAGCTCAATTCTATTTCATTAGTCTGCGTGTGTGTCCTTATGCCACTACCATGATGTTTTGATAATCATTGCATTTAGTAAGTTTTGAAATCAAGAAGTATGAGTCCTTTGATTTTGTTCCTTTTTTTTTTTTTTTCCCAATATAATTTTGACTATTCTGGACCCTTTGTCATCCCTTTACTCGTGATAAAGTGCATGTGTATGTATGTGAGAGAGAAAGAAAGAATGTGAAGCATCCTCCACCAAGCCTGACCATGCTGCGATTCCTTTCCTCTAGGCCTTTAGCCTGTCAGATCCTGGGCACTAACATTGCACGCCTGGCATGTGTCAGGCTGACTGGGCCTGGATTTGAACTGTGATTGCAACGTGGGATCCAACTTCTCTTAAGTAGTGTGTTACTACAGTGCCATGGAGACAGCTCTCATATGATTTAGGGGACTGGTTTCTCTATTTCTGTAAAAAAGTTTTGGTAAAGATCATCTTGAATATGTAGATTGTTTTGGGTATTAACATCTTAAACTTAATCTTAAGTCTTCCTATCTGGGATGTCTTTCTAGTTAAGTCTTCTTTAATATATCCCAGCAATATTTTATAATTTTCAGTATATAAGTTTTCTTTATCTCTGTGGCTAAATTTATTCCTAAATATTTTATTCTTTTGGATGCTGTTTTTTAAGAGAGATTTTTGTTATAGGGCGTGTGTGGTCACCAGAGAGAGAGAGAGAGACAGAGACAGAGACAGAAAGCAAGAAATCACCCCTAAAGGGAGATGGCAACACCATCAATCCTTTCTCCATTCTCCTCCTGGGATTTTGGGCATGCACACACATGCGTCCAGCTTTAGTTTTAAGCTGCTGGGTCCAAGACTCAAATGACAGTCGACTATGTGGGAGTCCAGCGACATAACCTTTATCCCATCTGTTGTTCCCTTTTGGGTTCTATTTTAAGTCAAATTGTTTCTTAATTTCCATTTTGGGCTAGTCATTACTGGCATTAATCTTGTACCCTGCAGGTTTGCTGAATTGGTTGATTCACTCTAGTAGTTTTGTTATTTTGGGGGGTTGTTTGTTTTTTTTAGGTAGATTCTTTGAGATTTTCTGTATGTAGCGAGTCATACCATTTACAAACAGAGATAGTTTTTACTGATTGACTTTTATTTCCTTTTATTGCCTGATTGATCAGGCTACAACTTGTACTATAGCACTGAATAGCAGTGGTGAAAATGGGCATCCTTGCCTTGTTGCTGATCTTTGGGCAAAGTTTCCATTCTTTTGCCACTGAATATGATGTTAGGTGTGGGCTTTTCATAAACATACTTTATCTTGTCAAGGAATCACTTGTCTTTTTAAAAATTATTTTATTCAACTTTTATCTATCTATCTATCTTAATTTGACCAGAGAGGGACAGAGTGAGTAAGCGAGTGAGTGAGTGAGAGAGAGAGAGAGAGAGATAGAAAGCTGTCAGGTCTGGGACTCAAACTGCAGTTGGCCATGTGGGAGTCCAGCGCCCTTAACCACCACGCCACCTGCCTGCCTGGAAGCGCTTATCTTTTCCCAGCTTTTCTGAGTGTTTTGTCATGAAAAAGTGTTGGACTTTGCATAATGCCTTTTTATCATCAATTGTGATATGTTTTTTCCTTTGTTCTGTTAAAGTGGTGTGTTAGCATTGGTTGATTTTCTAATACCAAACAGCTTTGCATTTCTGAGATATATCCAACTTTCTAATGGTGTATAGTTCTTTTAAAATGTTATTGAATCAGCTTGTTAGTATTCTGTTGAGGATTCTTGCATCTTCCTACTACCCAAACTACCTCGCCCCAAGCTATGATTTTTGTTATTTCTTCCTCTGATATTTGTTGTTGACTCCTTTGTTCCCGAAATACTCTTGGTTTCTGAGGCATTATGGCCTCCTCGTTTATCTGTTTTTCCTAGGTATTTGTCTATGTGCATTGGAGATTCTTCCTTCCATTTATCCTTTAAGAGTTAGTACTTCATAGGCATCCTTTAGAAGCTCTGAGTGATTCCATCCACCCAAACCTCAATGATCCTTGGTGTGCTGGCAACTCCCAAGTGGTTTTCTCTGGATGAGCTCACTTTTCTGATCTACACGTGGATCCAACGCTCTGAATAGCTCTCTGCAATGTCCCATGGCCTTTAGCCCCATATCCCACAAGACTCACAGATCTTTTATGTTCAGGCCTTTGTTGACCTTTTCAGAGAATTCTGAAGTCGTTCAAGGATATTTCAATCTTAAGAAGTACTGCTTTTCATTCAGTTCTAATCTCACTTATGCTGGTTTCTAGCTCTCTGTACTTGCGTGAATTCCTTAGCTGCTTCTCAGTGTTTCTGTTGCCTCATTTGTGAAATGGAAATGATAATACTGAAGATTAAGGATAGTGCATGCAAAGGTCTTTGCCTGCATTCATTTCTAAATAACTACAGCTATTTAGTTAGTACTGGTCAGACATAGAGATACCATACAAAGCGATGGAAAACAATACTAAATTGTCCATTGTTTCTGCCGACACAGACTTGTGCTTCCACGATTTCTGGGCTAGGACTAAGTAGCAGATACCAAATGAAAACTGGAATCTTACTCTAATAAATTCTGCTGAATCTAAACTGGGGATTTATATCTGTAACAAAATCTGCTAATTATTTTAATTCTCAAGTCCCTTTTGATTGGTGATCTAAAGTGGATGTTATTCTATTGAATAGAAAACTATTATATATACAGACAACCTAATATATTGGGCCAGCCCTATAGTACAGAGGTTAAGCTCTGTGAAGAGGAAGCTGATTCCCACATGTCAAATGGTATTTGAATCCTTGTCTCAGTGGCAATGTGTTTGGTTTGTCCACGCATGCCCAAGATACTGATGAGATGGAGAATTGGAGGGAGAAGAATTGCTGCATGGCCAGTTCCTACATGGGGGTGATTTCTCTCTGTAGAGTCTCTCTTTCTCCCATGTGCATGTATATGCTTCATAATTAATTTTTTCTTTCCTTTTTTTTTTTTTCAGAGAGATTTTTGCTATAAGGCGTACTCACTGGAGAGACAGAGAGATAGAAAGTGAGAAATCAACCCCTGGGGGGAATAGCTATACCACAATCCCTTCTCCATTCTCCTCTTGAGATTTTGGGCATGCATGCACACACACACAAACCCAGGGTGGGTTTAAGGCACTGGGTCCAGGACTTGAACCATGGTCGCCTATGTGGGAGTTCAGCAACATGACCATTACGCCATCTGCTGGTTCCTATAATGAATGTTTTAAAAAATGAAAAACTGTAGTAATTAATGTGTTTTTTTTATTCAGTGCTTGCCTAAAGGTGATCATCCCCTGATTTTATTTATATAATTGTGGTTTCCTATTCCCTCTGTCTTTGCTCTACAAATTTTGGTTTTACCATTCTTGAAAGAGAATTGGAAACTATATCTATGAAAAGTTGGATCAGAATTTGTTAAAAGAAAATTTGGAAATCTTGGTATTTAAGTGCTTGTTAATAGTGATTTAAAATGATTGGTTCTTTATTTTAAATATTTATGAGACACCCATCAGTGAAACAGTTATTCATTGTTTTTATATTTAAAAATAGTAGATTCAATAATCACTCATAAAGCTATTAACAATGAAATTTTTCAATCAGAATTTAGTTTGAATAAGGCATTGGAATGGAACATTTACTGTTTTTTTAGGCTCTTTTTAAGCCAAAAAAACTAGATGCTTAACTTAATATGATGAATTCTTTGCTAAGTTTGTTTTAAAACTACTTCAGTCACTTCGACTTCTTCTTTCAAATGATCTTTTCCTCCCAACTCTTTAAAATAAGGAAAAGGTGGGACCAGCAGTTAGCATAATGGCTATGTCACTGGACTCTCATGTAGTCAACAGCAGTTCAAGTTCCAGACCGGTGGCTTAAACTCACGCCAGGCGCGTGTGCTTGCGTGCCCAAGGTCTGGAGAGGAGAATGGAGAAGGGATTGCGGCGTGACCATTCCCCGTGGGGGTGTGGGGGGATGATTTTTCGCTTTCTGTCTCTCTGTTTTTCTGGTGAGCCCTATAGTAATAACCTCTCCAAAATAATAATAATAATAAAAAGGTAATGTAGCCTTGGGCCTAATTATCATATTGTCAAGTTTCAGTAACTCCATTAATTCATTCGTATGTTGTAAATGGATGAAAAAGTACCGTGTAGTAAGAACTACCTGGACAGGCGTGGTTTACTGAAAGCAGAGGTTTTGCAATGCCGGTTCGCACCAGCCCTTCAGCGTGGAAATCGCTAAGCGCGGTGGGCTGGACCTCAGTGCCCTGCCCCCTGCCCGGAACGTGTCCTCAGGAAGCCACAGGGGCCTGGCGGAGGCGGACTCCGCGGTGGCGCCCCGTAAGTCCAGAACCGCCCGGCCCGCCTCGCCTGCCTTGCCCGCCTCGTGGGGGCGGCGCCTGCCCCGGCTTCCCCGTGGGCCCGCCCCCTGCGCCGGGCACCCCCGCGGCCTCCGCGGTAGTTTCTCCTGATGATGCAAACACTCACTTCCCGCATCCACTTCCCCACAGAGGCCGCCCAGCCG